GTGATGCCCAAGTGTCCAGACAAACAATGATTGTGAGCTAAAGCTAATACTTGTAAACGATACGGAGCAGGAACCACATTTTAATACACAGTTTTCCATTCAGAATTACCTTCAGACGAACCAGAAGACACCCACTTACGCATAAGTATGTCCTTATCCCAAAAGTAGGTTGCAGACAAATTCACTGCACTAGCTCCCTCCGCTGCCTCCCTACACTTAAGTAGGGATGGGTCACATTTCTGCTCTGAACTAAGTTGCTCTCTAGTAGCACAACAGCCTAAATCTGAGATTCGGTCACATGAACTAAAAGAAGTAATGACTGTGTCCAAAGATTTGTCCCTAGGCTGATTATCAGCAGAGGAACCAGAATGCAAAAATGAGTCAGACAAATCAATTACATCTTGCATCTTGCGCGAGTTACGATACAAGCTGGAAAAGTCATTGAAACATGTTCATCTGTATCATTCTGAAACACGGATGTTACAGTTGACATAGGATCAGCCACAACCTCTGGAACAGGAAGAACTTCTCCACCCGCTAAATCATTCCCCAGGATAAAGGTTATACCTGCAACTGGCAACTGCAGACACATTCCAACCACTTTTCTTTTCCTGAAACCAGGTCAGATTGTAAGTAAACCGAATGCAAAGGAACTGTGATGTACCCTAGGCCTATCCCCTGAACTAATCTATCTGCCCCACAATATGTCTCAGTAGACAAAGGAAGGACATTACTAAGCAGAAATGACTGGGCAGCACTAGTGTCATGCAAAATAGTAACAGTCTATCATCCATCATCTCGGTATGATCACTCGACACATCCGGCCTAAAAACAGACTGTATTAATGCTACCCCTTTAGGTGACAATGAACGTTGCTTTTTCCTTAAAACTCAACCTTCCGCAATGAGATGACCAGGCTTGCGATAATAAAAACATGCACGAGTTTCTTTAATGGGCCCAGGTGATTTCAAATTATGTTCAGAAGCATCATCAACTTTAACACCAACAGACTGCATCTCTTTATGAGGATTTACATCTAGCTTTCAGCTTTATGCATTAACACAAACTCATCAGCAGCAGCTGCAGCAGAAGGGCTTACAAACTTTCTCATTTAAATAAACTGCTAACTTCTCAAATACACAGCTCCTAAAATCCTCTAAAAGCACTAATTCTCTAAGCTGCTCAAACGTTGTCACTTTGCTAGCCTTTTGACACCATTTGTCAAATAAAACTTCTCTCATGGGCAAACTCAACATAAGTTTGATTGGCTGTTTTCGTACATTTCGTTCATTCTGTCGGTATGCCTCGGGCACTAATTCATAAGCATGCAAAACAGTGGTTTTTACAATCTCATAATCTAAGCTTTGATCAATAGGCAAAGCAGAAAACACCTCCTGAGCCTTACCAGTTAACCTGCACTGGAGCAAGAGAGGCCAAACCATCTTCGGCCATTTCAGAGAAGTAGCAATGCAATCAAAAGCTTCAAAATAGGAGTCTACCTCTGACTCTCGAAACTGGGGCACTAATCTGATTTGCCTGCTCACATCAAAATCAGTCTGAAAATCCTCTGACTCACCAGCACGCCTAAGGATGGAGGTACATGGAGATGGTATCTCGACGCTCTGCCATCCTCACCTCCAAAGCCGGCACCTGTTGCCACTGCAACTCCACCTCCAACTCCATAAGCGCTGGGTCAGAAACTGATTGTAAAGGACTAATGATCTCTGACTTCCATGAGGGAGGCCTGTCTCTCAGGTTTAGGAGTTCCTCAAAGTGCTCTTTCCACTGACTGACAACATCCTTATTTAAAGTCAGAGTTTCCATACCTGTTGAGTACAGCTTGAGCAAAGCCATTCCTGATCACTCCTGAGTCACTGGACAACTGTTCGGAACCTCCTTGAAGCCAATTGAATATCTTTTTCCATGACCTCTCCAAACTCCTCCCATCTTCTGGATCTTGCTGCAGCCACTGCTGCCTTTTTTTGCCCATCTGTGCCTATCTCCGGAGTTGGCAGTCCTCCAGGCCAACCAATCCCTAAAGGCCTCCTTCTCTGCCAGTCATTCCCAGCACACCCTCAGTACTTGCTTGGGTCAATCAGGTCTCACCGCCAGTCTTCCCTGCCATCTGATCCAACTCACCACTAGATGGTGATCGGTTGACAGGTCAGCACCTCTCTTCACACGTGTGTCCAGAGCATATGGTCCCAAGTTAAATGAAATGACAACAAAGTCAATCATTGACCTTTGACCCAAGGAGCTCTGGTACCAAGTACACTTATGAACGCCCTTGTGTTCGAACTTGGTGTTCATTATGGATAATCCATGTCAGGCAAGCTGTTCTTCCCGATCACCCCTCTCCAGGTTTCCCAGTCACTGCCAACATGAGCATTTAAGTCTCCCAGCAAGGCTATGGAATCTGTAGGTGGGGTCCTTTCCAGAACCCACTCACTCCAAGAAGGTTGAATACTCCAAACTATTGTTTAGTGCATAAGCACACTACAGTTAGAGTTTTCCTCCCTGTGATTTCAATTGGCGTTGAGGCAACCCAGTCGCTGTCTGAGGAACAATATCCCCAGGCTTGGCTTCAGGGGTAGGTCTCAGTAATCCTCTCCTGGACAGGGTACATGGTATCTTATCTCTCTTGGTCCTGAAAATTTGCACACACTACAGTTAAAGTTTTCCTCCCTGCGATTTCAATTGGCGTTGAGGCAACGCAGTCGCTGTCTAAGGAACAATATCCCCAGGCTTGGCTTCAGGGGTAGGTCTCAGTAATCCTCTCCTGGACAGGGTACATGGTATCTTATCTCTCTTGGTCCTGAAAATTTGCACACACAACAGTTAAAGTTTTCCTCCCTGCGATTTCAATTGGCGTTGAGGCAACGCAGTCGCTGTCTGAGGAACAATATCCCCAGGCTTGGCTTCAGGGGTAGGTCTCAGTAATCCTCTCCTGGACAGGGTACATGGTATCTTATCTCCCTTTGTCCTGAAAATTTGCCTGAGACAAGTTTTGCAAAGCGGAGAAGGAGCAAAGCAAATCTTTATGTTCAACTCCAAACCATACACCCCTAAAGAGAAACTTGCACTTACTGTGCTTCATTTTGAAGGAGAAAAAGTTCAGCCCATGTAAACATTAGCAACATTAGCAAGTGTCCTTAACACCAAAGCCATTACAGAGACACAGCATAGTACTTTTACATTAAAGTAATCACCAAGCAACTGTGATGAGGAGTCTATTTCTCAGGGTTTTTAAGCTAACTTCAGTGATGACAATCTCCAGTATCATACATACGCCAGTGAATAAATATTTATCTTAGAGCTGAGCATTTTTATTCACAAATGTGAGTAAATCTGTCCTGCTGTACAGCCCACATTCACTCTTCAGTTCAGTTTTACCCTCTTTTTTAATCAGTTACCTCATTAAAAGTGACACATGACCAGCAGAGCTTTTCAGCTTATGTTGAACATTTTTAAAATTGACTGAGTGGAAACAATTGTAAGGAATTGTCTAAAAGAACACACACTTAGCTTTTCTTTTGTAAATCAAATATTTAAACTCACTCTGAACTGATTGCCTAAGTTGACTAAAAAAACTCTTAAAAAGTGGTTTGCTGGATGACTCTGCTTCATTTTGCCTTGAAGTCGTGTCATCTGCAAAAATTCTCGGATGACATGGCCATTTTGCGGTGCATGAGGAATGGACAGGAGGAGGAATACAGGAAGCTGGTGAAGGACTTTGTTGACTGGTGTAAGCTGAACCAGCTGCAGCTAAACATCAGTAAGACTAAGGAGATGGTGCTGGACTTTAGGAAGTCCAAACCTGCCTTGTCACCAGTTACCACTGATGGAGTTGATGTGGAGGTGGTTGGGACCTACAAATATCAGGGTGTGCACTTGGACAACAAGCTGGACTGGAGCTATAAAACTCTTGCGGTGTACAAGAGAGGCCAAAGCTGTCTCTACTCCCTGAGGAGGCTGAGGTCTTTTGGTGTGTGCACTAAGCTCCTATGGACATTCTACCAGTCTGTTGTAGTGAGTGCTTTATTCTGTGCTGTTGTGTGCTGGAGCAGCAGCATTAACAAAAGTGCTCTGAACAAAATAAACAAACTTATTAGGAAGGCTGGCTATGTTGTAGGAGTCAAGCTGGACTCTTTGGAAGTTGTGGCAGAACAGAGGATGCTCAACAAGCTGTTAGCCATAATGGATAACACCTCACACCCTCTGCATGCTACACTGGATAAACAGAGAAGCACATTCAGTGGCCGACTGTTACAGCTGTGCTGTGTTAAAGAGTGCCATGTGAGATCTTTTTTACCCATTGCTATAAGGCTCTACAACGAGTCTCCTTACTGCAGAGATGGTACTGATCTCCTGCTGTCTGAACTGTGTTGAACCACATCACTGTATCTCCTCTCTGATTAATACACACTGTGCAATATAGCATAACTACTACTGTAATGACACTTTCACTATGCACTTTACACTGTAATATTGATGCAACTTCAAGTTAGTTATGTCTGCACTCATTGTGCTTTCAGTTTACCTAATACCACTTAGTGCCTGCTATCATGTAAATACAACAAATCTGTCTCATATGCCACATAAATACACAAATAGATATACTTTTATTTTATTTCTCTTGTACTTTATGTCTAGGTTAATTTCTATTTTTTATTTTCTGCATAGTATATGTAAGTTTATGTGCAATTATATGTCTTGCTACTGAAACACTGCAATTTCCCTTCAGGATCAATAAAGTTCTGTCTGTCTGTCTGTCTAAAGGCTTTGCTGTACAATTTCCACAAGTGTAGAAAACCGCAGAGACATTGTGTGCAGGCCTGATGTTTTCTGATGAATAATGGACTTAATTCAAGTCTTAGGTTAAAAGTGTTAACCTATGTTTCTTACTCCATGTTGTTCTCTAGCAGCAAAACTAATGTTGTATTGAAATATGGTTGCAATTTATAAAATAGTTTACAGCGCTTTGCTTCTCCCTTTATCAGACACAGCAATATGAGGAAGAGAAAAGGGCACTTAGCCGTGAGATCATCGTACTCAATAACCACCTGATGGAGGCCAAGATCACCATTGAAAAGCTAAGAGAAGACAATGTGAGTCTTATTGAAAGAAATGCTTTTAAAGAGAGCTTCATTTCTCAGTTTTAATAATACAATAGTTCAAATTCATTCTCAGTTTAAGAAAGTATATGTATGCACTAATACAAATAAGATAATAATAACAGTGCTAATCACTAAAGCTTATATCAAGTACCATAACACAGAACTCAATGACAGAATAATAAATAAATGGTGTAATGAAATATATATTCATTTATAATTACATAAATTAGCCAATTTATAATAAACTGGCTAATTTGTATATTGCTGATGACAGGATGCTTGTTTGGGGTTTTAATAAGTTACAATGTAATAAACAATATTATTAACTACACAAACCAATGTGATTAATCGTGATTACTTTGATTATTTGTCAGCCCTAGGATAAACCATCCATAGATTTTTGAATGTGAAACTGCTGTAAAATCCCCAGTTTACAATGATTACAAAAAACTTGTGGAAAGAACATGTTTGCAGTTACTGGATTTAATGGAATGAACTGATATCTGGAGCAATTTCATTGCTTTGAGCGGAGAACAACTGTGAATGATTTCACACAACGTGCAAGCAAAATAATTGCAATTACCTGATTCAGTATAATAAAATAACATATTTTGAGGAAACTGTGCTTTGATACAGTGTCTTTCATGAAAACATAAAAGCCCAAATTATTTGGAGTTGCCCAGTGAATAATTTGGATAGCCTGGATAAGAGTACATCAGAGAAAGGCTATTAGACTATGGACAGATTAAAGAGCAGAGCTGGCTATTTGATCACCTCTCAGCGTAATTAATCAGTGACACTGATTCAGAATTCCTGCAATGGTAAATCTCTTAATGCTAATGAGATTTAGCAGTGTTATCAGTATACTAACCTCATGAAAGCAAAGTGCTTTTCGTGGGCAGATTTAACACTGTTCCTCATGGGTGAGCTGTGTTTCTTAAGATATAAAACCTCTTCCCCCAGAGGTACTGAAAGCATTAAAACTACACTGGAACAAAAATAAAGGTCTCTTCAGTGTTAACCTAATAGTGATATTACACTGGAACAAAAATAAAGGTCTCTTCAGTGTATACTTCCAAAGATGATGTATGTCTTTGTTTGCTTTGAGAAACTAAGCGGGTACAATCATTTTGGGAAAACATTATTTCAATGATGTGTTACTATCTTTATATACCATTTTAATGTTCGTTCTTGTCAGGCACTGAAACGTCACTATGCAGTGCTAAACTTTGTTAACATACTGTTCAGCAAAGTATATAACTAGTGGAGTGACAAATCAGAGTACTTAAATATATAACATATTTAGGTATTGCACAATTATTATTACATTATTATTATAATTGCAATAGCTATCAAGCCAGGGATAACTAACATGTTTCCTTTTTCACAGATATAGCCAACCATCACTGTATAGTTTTTTTCTTTAAACTACCATATTACTACAGTTCCTGCATCTTGTGCTGAGAGTGGTTAGTAGTAAATTATGTTGCACCTATCAGGAGATCAAATTTGTTTCATTTTTATTCATTTTATTTTCTTTTTCTTTTCTTTGTACAACAATGTCTACATTTGATCTCATCAGTTACTTACAGTGGTAGCTGTACACTGTAACAGTGTAGGACCAAAAAGACCCTTGTAATGCCACTGGTCACATATTTCATAAGCACTACAAAGTTAAGCTTTTCATGTTCCAAATATTTGTCCCTGCTAGGTCACAGTAAATATATGCACATTTCCCACAGGACCTGTACAGGAAGGACTGCAACCTTGCTGCTCAGCTCCTGCAGTGTGGAAAATCCCATTACAGAACACACAAGCTTTCTGAGGTAATTCCACAAGTTAGCTTCACTTTCTCCACACCTGACATACAAAACACTTCACAAGAAGGGCAGCTTCATCAGAGTAATTTAGCAAAAGAACAAGAGAAAGGACATGTAGATCATTGTTCATCACCTAAAATTTAAAAATGTGCAAAGTTTGATGGTTGAGAAACAATCAAGTGATACTGCTTTGAAGATGAATGGGGAATTATAGGACAACTATAATTTAGTATACTTATAAAACATGCACAATATTAATACAAATATCAATACAAGACCAAATGAATGAATAAAATTGTATATGTCATTGCTGTTGGGGAAAAACTTGCATCTGCTCAGTGGTAACTTTATAGGAGAAGGAAAAAAAATGTTCTTAACATTAAATGGAAGGTAATATAACAAGATTTTTCCAAGTAATTTTGGACAATTTCTACTGACCCATTCATCATGACATTTTAACATGTAAGTAGCATTTTCAAAATTAATAGAAATATGAATTGGCCTTTAGAAACTGTATAATATACATGTATTACAATGGATTTTATACACACAGGTGACAAAAAAAAAGCTGAATAAATAAGTGAAAAAAACATAAGTGTGGATGCTTTCAGACAGGTGTACTGCATGACACAATTAAACAATTAACATTTTGCCATGCTCTGTGGCATGTTAAAAAATGCTGAGCAGGCCTAACTGACCACGATTTTGGATCAAAAAGGCACAAGGAAACGATCTAAATGAGTTTGAAAGAGGGTTCATTATTGGGGCATGAATGGCAGGAGCTTCGGTCACAAAAAAATCATAGCAGGATTATGTTTCTAAAGGAACAGTGAATAAAGTGACATCTGCATTTAGATCTGTAGGAAAGACGTCAGTAAATAGCTTGATTACAACAGTGAGGGGGACCCTGGCCCTGTTATGCCATGGAGGCATTTTGCAGGCATGGTTTGGGTCCACTTGTTCCTATAGAGGGAAAGGTCACTGCAAATCTATTCAGAGTTGCTCTAACTGATCACCTTTAACGATTCTATTGTTATAGGACTGGTCTCTTCCAGGATGACAATGTCCCCCTCCACAGCAAGGGGTCACTAAATCGTTTGTTGGGTTTAAAAAAGGATGCAAATGCTATGTCCTTTTGCAGTCACCGGATTTCAACCCAGTTTACATCCTATGAGGGATTTTGGACTGAAGTGTCAGGCTCTCTTATGTTGGCTCTCTGCCAACATAATGAAAACACCAACTGGGGAAATATCTTTTAGAAAAAGTATTTGTTCCATTCCTTCATCCCTTTACAAAGACTCCTAGAATCTACGCCAAAGTGCAGTGCAGATATATGACAGCTTGTGGCGGCCCAGCACCTTACAAAGACACTCTATGTTGGATTTTCAATAAATTTGTCACCTGTCTGTATTTTACAATGTGATGAATGACATCTAAACTTTCTTAATAGAAAGCATAAAGAGCATTCTGTTTTTGTGTTTTATCTAGTACTAGTGAGTCTGCAAGCATAGATCAGTGTTATTCAATTAAAAAAAATTAACCTACTCCAAAACATTTTAGGGGAATAAATCCAAGAATACAAATTCAGAATTATTTTGAGTATAGCCACTCGGTAAATGTGTTGAGATTGAGTTTGGCCCAATCATTTAAAAAGGAAAGAAAACAAAAGGGATAAATTAGGATAGGATCTCTCTCTAGAGATAACAGGATCTCTACCCTGTGGGGGCTTCTTCCCAAAATATACCCTGTATCTATTACTGGTGTTTCTTGACAGTGAAGATGAATTAGTTTGTGCTTAGCCTGCACGCTCACCTACCACAATTTCCTTTCTAAGTAGAGGCTGATTTTAAAATAGGGTCAGTGAAATCCTGGTATTTTGAACCTAGTAACTATTTTCAGCCAAAGCACTGATATCTTTGTTTTTTAAATTCAGTTAGGGAATCTGTGTGTTGAATATAAGCTGCTCCATGGATACTGCTGTGTTTGATAAGGCAGGAACAGAGAACTAATGATCCACCATCCAACAGTTTCCTTGACCCGTGTCATATGTTGTTATTATTAACATCAAAAGAAAGCAAAGTAAGTCTGAATTTCAAAATGACAACAGAGGACGTTATTATTTTTTTGTGAAAAGTCCAAAAGTACTGTGATACACACAGTGGACCAAAGCTCAAAACTCACTGGTAGACAGAAACCAAAACATTTTGAAAGGTGAGTGGGAGGGTAAGTTGTTATAATGAATGCCAAAAATTGTTTAAAAGGTTTCAAGTCAAGTTGTCTTTGTCAAGTTCATTTGACATGAAATGTTCCATGCTTTGGGTATCTGAGAGTCATGGCAGAAATCGAGATGTTTACACCTATTGTTTAATTGATTAAATTCAGCAAATAAACAGTTATTGTGCATTAGGATATGCAGAACACTGTATCTGAAGACTGTACCTGTAATCTTCTCTGGGGTGTAAAAACAACACCAGTAAACAGGCAATAACCCAGTTACAGCTATCTTTGTACTGTTTTTAACTTGTATGCTCCATGTATTCCTTGCTGATTCTCTATGTCTCTATGTCTCAGCTGCCCACTGACTTTCAAGAGAGGGTGAGTTCTCACATAGAGAAGCATGGGCATGCAAGGAGCATGGGCCTGTGCCACACTCCCTACTCTGATGTTGTGCCTACGGCGATCATTGCCAAGATACTGGAGAAGCCTGAGCCAGGTAGTAGCTGCCCAGTGACACGTTCATCCAGCCCACAGAGCAGAGACTCAGACATCCAGACAAACAATGGAATGGGCATTGTGGACACCCTCCACCGCCGTGTGGTCTACAAATCTTCTGACCTGTACTGTAGTGACACAGCACTATATTGTCCCACAGATGACAGGCGACATGACCGCTGGCAACAGCGCAGACAAAGCGTGGACTTGCATGGCAAGGAGACCAGGCTTCTCCAAGCCCAGAACTCCATCGACACCAATCCAGAGGAGGAAAACTTCCACCCCAGCTTTTCCCACAATGATGTTCCTTTTCACAAATTTACAGCTGGATCGCCTCTAGCCTCCAGCTCCTACTCAAGCTTTAGCATGGCCTCAGATGAAAAGGGCAAAGCTCCTAGCAGCACCCTTTCCTCCTCTCACCTAGCTCTGTACATGGACTGGCGAGAGGGTGATTATGAGCGGAAAAGCACATCCTCAAATTACAAAGACAGCCCTGGGTTTCCTAAGTCACGCAGCTTCCAGCACATGGCCACTAGCCCGCAAAAGGGCAACTCTCCAGCCTATACGCGAACGGCGTCCTGCTACAGTGAGCCATACCACTCACCACAGCTCACTGCCTCCCACAGCATGAGCTCTTCTGGTGTTGCAAGAGAAACCCACAGCAGCATCCACATTCCTGAGGAAGAGATGACAGGGCGCTGGAGGCAGCTGAGCGTTGAGGACATCAACGCCTTTCCCTATCACAGCCCTGGCCGCATTTCCCCTTACAGCTTGTCTGAGCAGCACTTTGCAATGGGCCCTACGATCAAGCTGAGACCCCTATACAGCAGCCTCCAGGAGGGAGATGATGTCTTCCGTGCCTATATGCTCGATTCCTGCTTCCCCACCTCTCCTGGCTTGAACCCATCACCAAGCTCCAAACACAGTCTTGGTCTGTTGAAGCCTGAAAAGGCACCAATGTACCAATCAGAAGACAGCAGTAAGTCCAAGAACAGTCTCTTCCTTCACAGAAGCTTAAAAGACAAGGCGAACACAGAGGGAAATGTGAACAAAGAATACACAGATGCAAGCCCCAACAGCTCAGCTGAGTCATTACACCAAAGTCCACTGGAGGCATCCAATACGCAGCACTACAAGCTCCAAAGTCCTGGGCCACACAGGAAGACTTCTCCACAGCACCAAAAACTTGGAACCACAGGACTAAGTAGAAAGGACAGTCTCACTAAGGCACAGCTGTATGGAACACTGCTTAACTGAGCCAGTTTTCTGTGATCTAACAGTTACTACCAGTGTTGATACTGGCAGTTACAAATGCTCAGCTTGTGAATTAAGCATTCTGAAACATAACCAAGTAAGGTTTATGATGAATGGTGTAAAACAAAAGAGTTTTGGCTATTAAATGTCCCTGTTTATGTGATGTAGGCAGACACAGGGCAGGTTAATTTAAATTTACATTAGTAATTCCTTAGTCCTTAGCCTCTATTCATTTATACATAAATAAAATATTTTATGCCACTGTGTAACGGGTTTTGCCATTTTTAATATTATTATTGCTAGAACCTTATGTGAGGGTGTGAGGTAACCCGGATTTATTTGAAGTCTACAGACCAGGGCAAGAGAGAGAAACGCTCGCACCAAGGATGCTTCAGAAAAGGGAATTTATTGGCTAAATATCAAACTACTTTTGGACTACATTCAATGATAAACAATAGAAAATAAAACAAGAAAACAAAACAAAACAAAGTGATAGTAATGAAAGACAAAATAGCTCGAGTAAGTTAGAGTGATTCACGGCTAAATGGTATGAGGCAGTGTGGTTTGGGGAGCCGCTTGGGAGAGCCTCTAGAGAATTAACCTAAGCCTGGACGGGAATAACTATATGGCTGGATGTACCTATAAAAGTTCTCTTATTAAATAAATTGTCGTCAGGGCCCTGACTGCAAATTGATGGACCAGCTTACGCTGGAGTCGGGGGCTGACTTCAGGCGGGGTCGTCTCAGGACAGACTCGATCGAAGGCTGGAGCTCACGCGGTGGTTCCTCTCCTCGCTGGCCGTGGATGCTGCATCTCCGTGCGGGAACGCGCCTTCCCGTCAGTGATTGGGCGGAGGCGTCTCGTGGCCGTCTGACGGTGAAGCTTGGGCAGCCTTTCGACGGTCGATCTGTTCACAGATCAGTGCGTGGCTCTGGGTGCGATGCTGGGTCTCCGTGGCGTCAGAACCACTCCCACTCCGCTGGCGAGGTTCAGGTTGCAATCAGGCTTCTGAGGCAGGTGATACTAATTTAACTAACTACCTCTCTTTAGCAGAATCGAAAATTATGGATATATCCTCCCTGGCCAGACAAGAAATATCCACCTTCCTTCTCTGAGGGTGGTTCAAACTTGTGTGCAGATGAACAGGCAAGTTACAAAACAAACAAAGTTTTCAGATCTGAAAATTTTGCGTCCTAATACTTCTGACCTGTCTTTCTGACCTAGGCCAGCACAAACTTAGAAACTTTTGTTGCGAACGCAGGAACTCCCCAAATTTGCGGTGCACTCTGGTTTTGCTCGGCTGGAGGTCCTACCCTTTGGAGGTGGTGCCAGAGTGCTGATAGGTTCTCCTCACCTAAGGTTCTCTGATTGGTTGTGTATAGTTTGAGGAATGCCTTCCCCAAAATCACTGCCTCCTTTGTTTCAGCTAGTTTAAACAAAGAAAAAGAACATTTCTATATCATCCAATTGGTTTAACTTTCAAAATCAAGGAATGAACAATTAGGATATTCAGGCATGTTTCTAAGAGAGAGTTTAACCCTTGTTACCTGATACACAATACATGTCAAAGAACACAGGTACTATTTGCCTGTCATCTCTGAACATGACCCAATGCATGAAAAAAAAATCAACAATAAAAGGAAAGGAACAAAGGAAGAAAAGTAAAGAAAACCACATTCAGGATACATCTTGGTCAATGGTCTAAACTCATAGCAATTAAATGTTTGGGTCTGACTGTTATCAAAGTTATACTCTACGTATTTCAAGCACTTAACAATAGAAAAAGATACAGGTAATATTTAGGTACTACCCAACAACAAGATTAATACCACAAGTAGTATTACTTACAGATCATAGAAACGTTGATAATCAAGCAGACAAAGTTTTCTTGCGTTCTTATAAGCACAAGTCCTTATGGTGGTGATGTGGTAATTTGCGGTTTCACCCCTTGGGGGTGCTGTGGGTCCATGCTTGAGATCCCTAGGGAATTTAGAAAGTTGGAATTTTGCCGTCCAAAGTCGTACAAATTCCGTTTTGGTATGTCTAGTTTAGTTAAAAAGAGTTCTAACGAATGGTTGCAGTTTGGAGTGGACATATACCTTAGAAATGTACTTTCTGTTACTTAAGATAAAAAGTTGTCCACAGTACTTTGGAGAGCCATCTGCCACATTCCAGAGGAAGTGTCCTGTTTTTCTGCTGAGTGAAGGGAGAAGGGTGCTGGTTCTTGATCCAGTTGTAAATTTTGCTAAGTCTGGGTTGGGGTATCAAGCCTGACAGATTTACACCTCCAACCAGTCTTGCTGGAGCCAGAAGGCCCTTAATTTTGGGTAAGCACTCAGCTGGAGTTGAAATTCCGGCCATTGTTCGCTACAACTGACTGGATGCCTGTTTTGTCTAGGCATTCTGCTGACAGCAATCATTAATCAGGTTTCCAGCATCAGTTTCCTTGTGGATATACTTTTTTAATTAGACTTTTTTCCACTGCTAAACATTTTGTAATATGGGAAAATCACTACAAAATCATATATAGCAGCACTGACCTTATGGGGCATTTGAAACATAATTGGCATAATTATGACCATATTTTGCCCCCTCAGATAAACTGCATATTGAAGACTTTAGTATCTGTTGCACTCAGAGTTTTGCTGGCTTACAAAGTTAGATTGCGGCATGACTTAACATGTAGATCTTTTTTTTTTTGTCAAAATAATGTGTATTTTGCCTTAATTTTTTCAGTATGTCTTGAAAGGTAGGTATGCATGGAGCACAATGATTCTTCCAAGAAATGAATCCTTTTCTCTTACGATTCATTTATCTGCCTTTTCAGTTCACCTGTTTTCAAAGTTCCCGGAGCAATTTGCCATGCACTGGACCAGTGCAAATAAATTTCCTGTTTGTTCTACTTCGTCTCTTTGTCATTTACCGCCAACACTACATTTACAGAACCCCTATCAAAAAGGCATGTCATCTGTAATAAGTGTAGGAATACGCTGAAGGAAATATTGCAGGTTTAATATGCAAGTTTTTAAATGCAGCAAACAGCTGGGCTAGGTAAATAAAAGCCACAGCACGTTTGCTTGTATTCCCTCTGCCAAACAGTTAATAGCTATGCTCAAATGTTTTCTAACCTTATTTTATAAATGATATGTTTGTACTGAACTGATGGTCTACAAATACATTATCATTGTGATAAAACACAGAAAAAAGACTTGGAGCTCTCTGGTTGCCGTTGTGTTTTGCTTAACATTAACACTGATGTATGTCTGGCAAAATGAATCTTTGCCAGACGCTGTGAAATTCAGGCAAAAAATTCTCAACTGAAATGACGAATGTATCAAATTTCTATTCTACGTCTGAACTCTAAAATCTCAGAAAAACTGAGCATCTGCAACTGAGTGGATCAGCAATGGCTATGAGATACACACATGCCACAGAACACGTTTGATTTTGACTTTCACTCTAACACCTGTCACTCGAATCTCAGATATCCTTTAAAAGGGTGTCATGTTAGCATCAGTTAACTGGAACCCTGTGCTGTGTTGTGTTGTGTGGCACGTTTAGCCTGCTAACTAAGCTTGTCAGCATAGCCAAAATGCTATGTTCTGCCAGTGCTTTAGTTAGCCAAAATCGAACATGCTCTGTGGTGGGCTGAGCTGTAATCATGCTAGCTAAGCTAATACTAACCAGCTCCTTTCCCCTAGTTAGCAGTGCTTCTTAACATCTAGCAATTGTTAGATGGATGGTTTGACTTTCATTGAAAGATTGAAATTCATACTCTGCATTTACATATTTGCTGACCATGTATGCAAACAAAACTTTTTAAATATTTTAGATTTTGAAATAATGCAGGGCAATATGTATATGTATATATCGTTTAGAAAAACTCACACACACGGCCCTTATCCTCCTGGGTTGCGGCAGGTGCTGAAGCATATCCCAGCAGTCACTGGGAATTAGACGGGACCTCACTACCTTTTATTCATTATTTAGTATGACATATGGTTTTAGGTGGAAATTAATTCAGTATGTGAAAAATGCCCAAAAAGAAGATTTTTTTAATGAGAAATCTAATTTTTAGGTTAAAATTTTCTTTTAGGTTAAAAAGTTCTTGGTCACTGTTAACTTTCTTTAAAATTATTTATGTTTCCTACTACAAGACTGGTGTTCTCTTTGTTATGTTGGATGTTGTTTCTCTGTTCTACCTCAGAGTCTTGAAAGAACAGGTCAGTTGTTTGCTTGATGCAAGTTTCTAAATTTTGCTGTATGTTCCTGTAATGAATAAATATGAATAAGGAACTCATTTTAATGTGATGCCCAATCCATACCTGATAATAACATTCAGGTTTGCACATAGGACTTACACAATGTACACAGATATATACATGGTGTGTACAATACTATAACAACATTCACAAAATTTTTTTCTTTTATAATAACAGCAGTTAATAACAAATATTAACTCAGATGATGCATCTACTGAAATATGAATTCAACTGGTGCCTTTAACCAAGACACTGAACTGATCTAACACAGCAATATTACGCTGACAAGGTAGGCTATAGTCTGACAAAACCTAGAATGGTTTTAAAAATGAATAAACCACACAAACACTATATGCTAACTTTGCATTGCATAATAAAACTGCTCTTCATTAATCATTTTATAAGTTTGTATAAATATATTATATACGTTAAATCTATATTGCACCAACTCTACTGCTGCCTTTTTGTAAGTAAATGAGAAGTACATTGAGAGGTTTATGTTAATAAAGTTTACTTTGATGCATGACATCTTTAAATGCTTATACTGCTTTATATATACTCTATATGTTAACAAATAGTCAAAGACAGCTAAAAAAAATTTATCTTTGAAATACAATCTTGGAATTGTCCTCTGCAACAAATGGAAATGATATCCTTAGTTCCATATTTTGATCTCTCCTCCCCAATCGCATGTGGCAACCACAGCAGGTAGTACAGGGTGCAAAGACACACACACACAGGCCTGCTGATGAGCGTGAAGTGTGAGCAAGCTGTGTGCACTCTGACAATCATAGAAGTGCATGGAGCCTGTAGAACAACCCGAAGCTAGCATGGTTCCATCTGAGGACATCTCACACCGCACAGCATAACCTTCCACCTATGACACAGAAACATTAGGAGGAAATATTTTATCTTGCCATCATTTTTTATTATTTTATCACTTTCCTGTCTATCTGTTTGGAAATTATAAGCTTAAACTTGTATACAAATTATAATTTGAATAAATCACTGCTGTCAAAAGAAAACCTCATACTTCAGTTTTTTTGTCGTTTTTCAGTTTTTGACAATTTGAAAATGCCTGTTGCCAGTTACATTAAGTGTAAAATTCATAAAGAATGGACCAAAAGAAATTGAAAAAAGTCTGGTTCCATTAACATACATTAAAGTAGGTTTTTTCCTTTTCCTGTAAAGTTATCAATTTGGAGATACGTTTTGTTCCGAACAACAGCGAAATGCTGAAATACTGAGAGGGGAGACTGTAAAAAGCCTAGTATTAGATATGGATTTGTTGTAGATCAGTTGCTAACTCAGTGCACTTTGATGTGGTGCAGGCACAGAGCATTAAACTCACCTACCTTGTGTCCTTCAAATCGCCTCCTCTTGTTCATGTGATATGGCTTCTGGGCTGAAAAGATTGCAATGTAGTTTCCATTGGTTTGAGCAACAAAGGAGTCCTCCTGAGGGTGCAGGGCCAAACTAGGGCAGGTGTATCTCTCCTGCAACAAACCAAGCAAAGAAATGTTTGTTTTTCTTTCGATTTTTAAAAACTACATTTATTTGTAAATTTCTCATATGTGTGATTTCATTTTCAGGGTCTTTAACAATTAGTTTGTAACAATTTCTTCGCATTTTCTCCAATTTCGCATTTACTTTGAACGGAAGCAGGTAACATCTTCCAGTAATGTTTTATTAGCAATTCTGCTAAATTTCAGAAATTTTTAGTGATTGATTTTTGAAGTCTTTTTTTAGTAATTGATTTTTTTTGCTCCATTAAGTTTTAAATTGTGTTTGGAACATAGTGTAGTTTCAAAAATTACATGCAAAAAAATAATAATTCAAATCTAATAAACATGCAGGAATGCTACATAAAACCTAAAGTTTTAATTCTGAGAACTGACTAAAAGATGAAATTTCAAAGATTAAATATTGCACTGACATGAAATATGCAACCTCCAATCAAATGACCTGTTAGTAATTAATAGTAATTTATTAAGATGAACCTAGTTCATTTAAAGCAAAACATTATTGTTAGTGTTGTATTTGTTCCAAATTACTATTTCAGCTTAATTTATTCACTCTATAAACAATTAAACTCAACATTTAAATATATTTAAGTATATTTAAAATATTTCTTAATTCTTAATTTATTCTTAATTTATTTGCAATTTTAATGCATATAAACTTTAAAAAATCATAACTAAAAAAATGCAACACGGTTTTGAAAAATTTTAATTGTTGCATAAATTAAAATAAAGTTTGCTTGTTTGTTGGAAATTCATGAGGCCCTAAGAGAACTGCTATGGAATGCACGTATTATGTGCTCTGGGATGCATATATGGAAAGTATATATTTCAATCCACTGTCAACATTGAATACAAGAGTGTTTAATACCATTAAAAGCAAAGTAAATAAAAATGATAAAGAATGAACTTGCAGCTGTTACCTACTAAGCTACATCACCAGTATCACTGTTTTATGAGTAATGTACAATCTTATTCTTGTGGCTATTTTAAAGCTACCATTAATGATTCCTGTGGGAATCTTAAGCTATATGGAATTCCATCACTGAAATTAGCATTAAATGTAAATACCAGACATGTAAATTGCTGTTTGAGATTTTATTTTCTAAAGTGTTCAGTTGTTGTTTATATTATTGCCACTTTCATTTCAAATGTACTGATATAGCTTGACAAAGAGGACACCAGTAGCAATTGGTTACTTTTGAGCTTGTGACCATAGGATGATTAAGGGGTGGCTGTTTAAGCTGTTAGTTGTTCTCACATGGAATATCTGGTTGGAGACTTTGGCAGTAGTCCTAAAGTCCCAAGCAATAAGGGTCCGATCAGCAGAGTCTCGACTGACTGCGTCACTGCTGGTCACAAATTCTTTCCCTTCACTCAGAAATAAGATGTCCAGTGTCTGCTGAATCCCAGCCCTATATACGCTGACCACCTGAATAAAGAAAATAAGCAAGATGATAAATTGCAATCATATAAATAATGAACACAGTGGGTCATGTAAATGAACCCTTACAGCAGCTTTGAAACACTTCTAGACTCTATAGTTTCTGACTCTGAAGTTTGCAGAATTATGTTTGTAGGTCAACACATCAATACTACACAGGTCAAGATGTGGCAGCACCATCAAGCTTTCAAAATGCAGTTGCATGGCCTGGAAAGTGAGACAATCAACTCCTTTCTTTTAGAAACTGCACACAAAACACTCAAACTCAGATGCCTGCCTGAAGGATGCACTATCCTAGTGCATTCTAGATGACACGTCCTGTTTCATTCACTCAAGGAGCAGCCAGCGGTGGAATAACTCCAGAATCTAAGCTGAGATATTTCAGCATGCAGTGAATTAGATCTCTTGCAATCTCCTTCCACTAACGTGCATACATAATGGCCCTTATTCAACAAAGTTGCTTAGGGTCAAATCTTATCCTAAAATGAGCACACGCAAATTTCACAGCCATTTTTGTTTCATCAATTTCATCTTTTGCGCATGTACAATCAAACTCATGTCTGCTAGGAAAGTGTTTACATTTGGGCATAAATGTTTAACATCCTAAAAGAATGCCTGGTGTAACTAACCAACTGAGTTAACTAACCAAAACTATTATCAATATCATCTATAATAACATGAATAAGAATAAAAATACAAAATAACAATAATACTAATCATTTATCCACATAGCAGTCCAGTGTAAAACTCAATGTGCTTATTTTACATGCACATTGATATATAAAACATTCTACTTTTCATTTAAAGACATATTACACTGTGCTTTTGTTTTATGCAACTCAAACACTGCAAAAAAGCAGCATTTAAATATTTTATATTATTTTAACTACACAATTTCATCATTCCACCATCCTTAAAAACTAAGAAGTTTTGTTCCTTTTATATTTTATTCTTTCCAGTCATTGTAATTTTAACACTATAAAGTTTGGGCAGTAGACAGAGCATATAAATGATATGTAAAAGTGGTAAAGATAGGCAGTGTTTGATTTCATGTGCTAAAGTTGATTCAGCATTTGTGCTCAAATCTCTGTTTGTCCACTTATAAATTGACATTTATTGTCCAATTCTTTTGCCCTTAGTTGTTGAATTGTCAATCCCTTTTTATGCACATTATACCCTGTTCAATGAAGCATGTTCATTGAAAATATCAAATCTCCACTTCTTTCCATGTCGTTTGAAAGTTTCGGATGATGACTAGTTCATACGTCACTAAAGGCAGTCAAATGTGCACTCTTTTTAACATAGCTTTCATGAACAACGGTCAATTTGTCAACATTATTCCACATTTGTAAAGCTAAGGCATGCCACTAACTTTACCATTAGGCATGAGTTTCTTAGTTAGCGCGTTTTGCCGTTAATGAGGTAATTTGAACAAAGTGAAGCTCACCCGCTTGTGAACGCTTGACATTGCTCCTATCCTCTTATTTAATCCAGCATGCATAAAGTGTGCATAAGCATGCCCTTGTTTACTCTCCCAGTCTGTCTCATACATATACACACAATAGCATGTACATGATGATTATGCATGAACTACACACAGTTAGGAGAAATACCCAAACATTTTGAGATTAGGTTTGATCATTTTGATAGCAATCTAAGGAACAGGTTTTTCTAAGTGGAACTCAAAATGTTAAGTGAAAACTTAATAGTAATTACTTGAAAAATGTAACTAAGGCAAATAAAATTTAAAACTTAAGTAAAGCAAGTACTCATTTACAACCCCACTTCCAAAAAAATGGACACTCTGCAAAATGTAAATAAAAACAGAATGCAGTGTTGTGCAAATCATCCAAATCCTATATTTAATTGAAAACAGTACAAAAACATTTCAAAAGCTGAAACTGAGAAATTTTATTGTTTTTTCAAAAAATATATTTTGCATTTGATGCCAGCAATACTTTTCAAAAAAGAGACAATAGACTGGTAAAGTTTAAAAAAAAAACACAACAAGCTTATTTAAGATAGACTGAGGTCTATCCAAAATTGGAGAATCAAATTAAAAATCAAAATTGGAAATTCTTTTTTGTAAATCATGGATGGTCCGTCCTCTGGGCTAAAGAAGAAATCTGACCATCTGGCTTGTTATCAACACACGGCTCAAACGCCAGCATCTTTTTTTTTTTATATATATATATATATATTTTTACCCGATTTTCTCCCCAATTTAGTCGTCTCCCATTCCACCCGCTAGTTAGGACTCCCCCAATCACACGATGCTATCAACGCTAGGAGGGTGAAGGCTAACACAGGCTTCCTCCGAGACCTGTGAAGCCAACCACCGCTTCTTTTCGAGCTGCCGCTCACGCAACGTCATTGGACAGCCGAACGCGCTCGGACGAAAGCGCCAACCGCCAGATCTGTTACGTCAGCTAACAGACGCCTGCGCTGACTAGCATCGCGCTGAGTGATGGGGGGAGAAGGAGGGGCCATCCTACCCACCCAGAGAGAGCGAGGCCAACTGTGCTCTCTTGGACTCCTTAATCCTTAATTTGTATTCTTTCAAAATTTTCACTTTCCAGTCAAACAGCGTTATCTACGAGGGGGAAAATCATTCAGCCATTACCAAACCCCACCTTCTCAAACTACAGAAATTTTACCATTACTGCTTGTTACTGTCTGTACCACTAAGGACTAGGAATTCTAAATATGTTCTATTAATATAACAACTCCAAAAATATTTAGAAACAGCTATATTTTTGTCTCTTAGCATATATAGCCCTACTGCCCTGCTACACAAATACAGAGTGCACTTGCATTCATTTTAAATGTTAAACCATTTTGCCCTAGTAATCTAGAATACTCTTGGAATTTTAAAACACTGGGTCTTTATCTTCGAACTGACCTTGCAGGATCGGGAATCCCATGCTTTGACCTCAGAACTGAACCCACCACATAGGAAAATACTGGGATCCAATGGTTGAAAGGCAAGACAAGTCACCTTAAATTGGTTCTCCACCTTGGCAACAACCTGACCTGAGAAGAGAAAAAAATTCAAGAGAATTTTTACTGACATACTTACGCTGTGCCCAATGCGCACAGATAAGTATGATTCTTAAGACAAGTCAGGAGATCCATTTGAGTGAGCTGAAAACAATGAATATGCCCTATACTAGCAGCTCTATTCTTCTTACCAGTAATTATTTCATTAATGCTATTTTCACTATCATTGTTCATAAGGTATAAATGCCTAAATAAATGATTGTTGCAGTTTACTAGTGTCCAGAAAAAAATCCACCCTAAACACTGCATATACTGAATGTATGTACTATACAACTTTGCCCGTAGGTGCACCCCCTCAGTTAGTTGTTGTAGTACACTGCAGAACATTTTGATCTTATCTAAGGACCTAAATACTGATACTCTTGATGAATCCAGTGACAGATGGGCTTCAACAGTAGAGAGATGTGGTCACTCTCACTAAATGGAGACAGAGGGGTGGTCCTGTAGACCTCCTTGACATTCATGTAGACGTGAATCAGCATGTTTTCCCCTAATGTCAGACAGGAGACATGCTGATGATCAGTCTGGTTGAAGATCCCCTTGATGATGAGCGCAGCTTCTGAATGATGAGACTGAAGCTTGCTAATAGCATTAGCTAGCATTGTTAGCACTAGCATAGCATGCTTTGTGGAGGTACGTAAAAAGCACGACAATAACCACAGTGAATTCCTGAGGAAGGTAATAGAGCCTGCATCATACCATCTTGAACTCCAACTCAGGAGAGCAGAAGTGCTATACAACAGTTGAGTAGGTACAACATTGGTTGCTCAAAACCACAGAGTCCACCGCCCTTTGTTTTGAGTGATGCGGTCATGCAGTCCGCGCAGTGCACTGTTAGCCCCTGTAGCCAAATCTGGTAGACTCCTATTAAGCTAGATTTAGTAAAATTAAAAACACACCAGGTTCTGGTTTGGCAATTTGTTGCGAGTCTGACTCTCAGTTTATATTTGCAAGGCCATCGTTGGTGTCTTCTGATCTGTGGCACAACTGTGGTCAACGTCAGGCCTCTGGGGTGAACAATACAGGCGAAATGATAGGCTGAGTGTTAAGTCCTTACAGCATTGTGTGTTGTCTTTGCCCTGTTCCCAATTATTTGCCCATCACTGCATTCTGTTTTTATTTACATTTTGCACAGTATTCCAACTTTTTTGGAGACAGGGTTGTATTAAAACATGAAAACACTGAAGGTACTATTTTAAAGTAATTTTATATCTCCTGTTGTATGAAATTAATTACTTTTAAGATGAGATTAATTATATAAATTTATAGTTCTAAAATATGGTGCCCATATTTTTGTTGCATCACATGAGTAAAGATAATTTACTGTACAGAAACTACATAGCTACGTATATTGCTACAGTATAAGGAGCCAGTCCTCTCAGCAGTATTGAGATAACTGATTACTGCTGAAAAAGCAGGACACTCATCGGTGTGGCACTGAGTACAATGAGATTCTACTTTTGACTTAAAAGAGCAGATAATGTTAATTTCCCAATGGCCCCATATTGTAATACTTATTTAAAAAACATCTTGATCCAGTTTCACTGTACAGCATACAGCACTAGGTGGGCAAGCAATTATACAGTGTGAGGTTTCTGTGAAATGTCACTGCTGGAGAGTGATGGAACGCTGAAGATAGACTGTTCAAATAACGCACCTGTCTCCACATCTGTCATGGCAGCCATGTTATCAAAGGAGCCAGATAAGAGGCGTCGTCCACATGGCAGCCAACAAACATCTCGAACAGCCCCAGAGTGTACAGAACAAGTGCGAAGGCACCGCCCACTGGCTGCACCGTCCCAAACCTTTCAACAACAGAAAAAGAAAACTCAGTAGTTTAAATAACCGTGGATTTAAGGTAGCAGTGAACTTAAGGTTTCAGTGGATTTACGTTATCAGTGCAATTAAGATATCAGTGGATTTAAGGTAGAAAGAGATTTAAGACAGCAGTGGACTTAATTTTCAGTGGATTTAAGGTTTCAGTGGATGCAAGGTACTGGTGAATTTAAGGTATCAGTGCATTTAACATACTACAGCTTTAACACACTCTACAGCCATGAGGCTACGTCAGTTCACAATGTTTAACTTACAGCATAATTAGCTGGCTTTGACAAGCCAACTTAAAGTTTGTTCACAAACTTTCCCTTTTTAGTTATTATTCTACACTCAAAAAATGTTTCACATCCAGCAGCTTTCTACCTAGAACAATGAAACTCTGCAGGATCGTAGAACCTATCCCTAATTAGTTTTGATTTGATTTAAGGCACTAGTGAATTTAGGGTATCGTCTACCAGTGAATTTCAGTAAACAGCTTTAACACACTCCACAGTCATCAGGCAACATCAATTTAACCATTATCTACAGTTTTAAACCTCAATAGCAACATTACCTACATAGGGAAAGTTTGGGAACAAACCTTGCATTGACCTATCAAAGCCAGCTAATTACGTTGGAAAGTGACAACTATTTATGAAGTTTAAATTATCATTAATGACTTATTGGATTAATAAAATAATGATTGGCTGAAGGTCATGGGTTGTTTATGCTGTAATGGGTTACTTAAAGGTTAAATCTAAATATTGCCTCTGAGGTTTAAAACTATAGATAATGGTTAAATTGATGCAGCCTGATGGTTTTAGAGAGTGTTAAAGTGGTTTACATGAATCCAGTGCTACCTTAAATACACTTAAATGTCCTGCTATCTTAAATCCCGTGGTACCATAAATTCACTGATAGTTTAAATCTTCTGTTACATTAAATCCACTGCCACCTTAAATCCAACAGGTACCTTAAATCCACTGTTATCTTAAATCCACTGCTACTTTAAATCCACAGCTACCGTAAATACACTGGTACCTTAAATCCAGTTACTTTAAATATACTGATACCTTAAATCAATAAAACTGTTCTGCTGCTTGTCCCACTGAGCTGAAACTTTGCATGCAGCATCTCTGAAAAACTATCAATGGTACAATTATCATTGGACAAATATGGGTTTTGCCTTGATCGTCAGCCCCTGCTCGCCCACTTTTTGGACCAGTTTGACCACCATAGAGCTTTCTGCTGTCCCTCCTGATGATACTGCTGCTGCAGACACTCAAAGTATTTAATAACAGATATCACTTCAACTGCCACATAGTACTCTGAGCTTTTCTAAATTTTCTGGGACTGGCAATTTTCCAAATGCAATAATAACAATAATAATAGTAACAATAATAATATTAAATATTCAACGTTTATAAGTAGTTACAAATAGTGTTCTTGTTTCCATATTGCCCCTACATTCATAACCCAAATTCTAAAAATTCTAAACTAAAAAGTTGGGACGCTGTGTAAAATGTAAATAAATGTAAATAAAACAGAACAGTGATTTGCAAATCTCATAGACCCATAATTTATTCACAATAGAACACAGAACATATTGACATTCATAATTATTACATTAGTCCTGGGTTTGATAAAAGTCATGAATGAGATATTTAGCATTTTTAAACATTTGTCTGGCTTTCTGTTTAATTTTCTTTGATTTATATGGCTTATTTCACTGTATTTTGCTGTGTGGCATGCACAGCTCCTGTCTATTTTCCAAATATTCCACTCGCACTCTGCTCGCACAGTGCCGCTCTGCTCATGTGGTCTGTGTACAATCTCTGAAATGTTAATACAGGCGCTGAAATGAAAAACAAGTTCTGCATAACTCAGAGATAGTATTTTAAATTAATACAACACTATCATTTTTTTTAAAAAGTGGAACCCCAAGTACTTTCTATGATTTGCAGGGAAATAAAAAATGCAGAATTGTGAATGTCTTTAAACTCTAAGTATTACAGTACTACTCTTGACTGTGTTTAATCTAGAACTGCCTATTTACACGATTATGCATACATTTTTACAGTCCAAAGATGCTGCCAGACAGATGTGCTGACATGCTAATGTGCCAACATGGCTGAGGACTTGCATAATGTGTGCGTAATGTCAATATTTATACTGAACTTGTGTAGCTTTATGGCCATTCATAACGTACAGGAATCAGCCTCTGTTTGTCTTTACTTCTCATCTTTGCGGCATGTAAACAAGTGACTAAGGATGGGCTCAGTTTCCTCACCTAAATGTCGCTCAATAGTCAAAACTATAATAAAACAAATGAACATGCATTTGGCTATTTTATTTTGTTTAAACAGTCTGAGCATTTTTTATATTTACTAACTTATCTTGCTTAAGTCTTTCAAAGAAAAAAAGGGTGACTAAGCAAAGTCTTCAAGGGAGTGTGTCTATCTAAGACTACCCAGGTATGGCATGATATTTATAGCCTGATATCTTGTCCATCATTAAGTAATTGCCTATTGGCTTTATGGCTATATGTTTTGTTTGAAACAGCATCTAACTCTGAACATTGTCAGTAATCCACAAGAGCATTGTACATTTCTGGCAGGGTCTAAAGACTTTAAAAAATGATGCAAAACAACATATAAAAGACATTTTTGTCAAAACACTAAACTGACAAAATGAACACTGGCCATGAATAACTAGGCTAGAAATATTGATTTATGACTTAATATTGAATTACTTATGATTTCATATTGTCTTATATATATGAAACAGTACTTATTATATATACACTGAAACAATAAGTTTATATATATATATGTATATATATATAAAACCGCATGCTTGTAATGCTATACCACGCTCAAAAATCTCTGAAGTTATTTTGTGACGAAATTTGAGCAGTCCCGCAGACAAAACAATCGCGTATTCATTAGAAATTGACTGGGAAAACCCTTTTTCCCTCCTTAGCTCCACCCACCAGAATTCTGCCCTTATAAGCACAAAGCCAAATGTGAGGCAGGAAGAGAAAGACCAAGATGTAACACCGAAGAAACCATAAGAAAAAGCCCTGTCCCTTTGCACTTATAAATCTGTAGGTTTTAGATTTTAGTTTGTTTCTGCTTCATGTTTTCACTCACTCAGTAATCTTGGGGAAATGTTGGTAACTGTTAGGCTTGCTGCGTTCACACATTGAATAGCCTACCCTTGCTGCATTTGTTTTTAAATTTCATCAACTCATTTTGAAAGTTTGATCGGCCACCGCTAGGTTGTTGCTAAATCTGTAAGCACAGTTTAAAGAATTAGGAACAGAGGTAAACCAGTGCTGACTACAAGCCATCCCAAGAGTCTGCTTCAGCGGCCCCAATGTAAGGCTGTGGCCTGATTTCACAAGCCAACCATTACAAGCCAACTGAAGAGCCCATCTTCCTCACAAAAGGCCAACATATACCAGCTGGTAGCCTGTCTTGCCCGTCAAGGTCCGGTCAGATGCAATGCTCCTGAAATTAACCTCTTCAGCTGCCTTGCCCCTTTGACCCACAGATCCTTCTCCAGCTCATACAGCGCTGGTCGCTGCTCCTTCTCAACCTAAAGGCTTTAAGGTCACACTCACTTCTTTGACTATATGCTTCAGTATCGGCTGTGTTACTCTGTTCAAAATGGGGGGAATCCCCCCCCCCAAATGTTTCACATAGGGGGGATTTATACATTTTGGGGGGATACTACTTGTGAGCTTAACTACAGGTCTTACCCTGCCCCTTTCTTTTTAAAAGATTTTTAAAAGGAGGACACTCCATGTCTTTCATGAATTTAACCAGATTACCAAAATTGTAATTAGCCAATTTGTTTTCTGCTATTAAGTAGGTGGTTTTGAGAAGCCTCTTCGTTGGCTGGTAAAAGGCGCAGCACTGTATTTTTTTCAAATCACATTTTTCAAATCGAGCAGCTCATTTCACCGTTGTTAAGTTCAAACCACGTATATATTCTGAAACTTGACTTTGGACTGCTGCTTCACCTTGCTAACATTGCAGTTACCTGGATTAGGTAACATTGCTGTTACCTAATCCTGAGGATTAACATTGTTAACGCTGACATCGCTAGCACTGCTGTTTGCGCTATCCCTTTCCATTTCCATGGGGGTTCCATTTCAGATGATGTACATTTATGCTTCAGCCTGCGGTCCATGTTTGCATGCCTTCAAGTCCACATCATTGAAACTTGTCTGTAAATGTTAGCGAGAGGTGCTGCAGCAGCAGAGTGCGCTGGTAGGCTCGTAGATAGAAGGAGAGAGAGCATGCAGAGCAGAAGTAGGTCCAAATGCCATAAAATAACTAGTTCCAAGTCTCAGCTAATTACAGTATGTTCATCTGGTGAATCTCATGTCTCTAGTTTACTCTGCATACCCATTAATTTAGTATGATTACCTATATATCCTTGTATCAATAAATTACCCTTTTTAAAGCTATCACTTGTGGTTCTGTGTGTAGAACGAGAAAACTCTTACCTGAGATTAACTTGAGTAACTTTACTACTTAAGTAGTTTTTATGGTAAGTGGGAAAATTGGTGGCATTGTCACACTATAAATATATATACACACACATACATATATAGACATATATACACTCACACACACATATACAACTCCATTTCCAAATCTTGCAAATCTTGTAAACCGTTGGTCAAAACCAATATTATGTAGACTTTTTAAAAGTAGAGAATGATCAAATGTATCAAAGGCTTCAGAGAGATCAATGAAAACGGCTGCACAATGCTTCTTTTTATTGATGGCACTGTTTCAGACGAGAGTCACATTGGTAATCTGAGAAAAACTAAATTTCCATGGAGAAATTCAGTTGATTAAGGTTTTGGCTAAGTATGACAATTTCAATATGGTTCTATAGTTATTAAGATCTGAGGCATCACCTCCTTTGTGGAGTGGAATTACATGTGCTGTTTTTCAGGTACTGGGAATTCTGCTTAATGAAAGTGACAGATTAAAAATATGTAATGTGTTCTAAAATGATTGGGTGTGAAGTTTTAGAAAATAGAGGTCCAAACTACCCTCCCTTGTACTGTTCTTTAGTGTTGATGGTGTTGAGGGCTTTAGCTGCTATGTGAGGAGAGAAAGGATGAATGGTAAAGAGACCATGTCTTACAGCAGGGGCTGTATTTATTACATTGAGAGGCACTTCCTTATGAGTATTATCAAATAAATGACCAGCAGCTGTTAAGTGAGTATTAATTGATTGACAGTGCTCTGTTTGATCAGAAACCTGAGGATCATTAAGATATGGGTTGGAATAGGCACCAATTTGTTTTTAAGCAAATTAACTGTCTCCTAGAATTTAAAGGAGACTGAAGCTGAATTTGTAAATAACTGAGGCTAATGTTCTGCTTTAGCTTTTTCGAATGTAGGAAGTAAATGTATTCCTTAGCTGCCTAAAGCCATTGATCTCTGTCACCATTTCTTTGATGGGAAAGATTGAATAAAACATTCCCTGATTAGTAATCAATCATATTGGCTGACTAGAGAATCTTCCTAATAAGGTAATATAGGGAAGCAGACTATGGACTATGCAGTAGACTCTCTAACGCGAACAAAATGTACACCTATAAATACACCTATAGAAGTAATTTTGTCAGATCAGTCGGACAAAAAATCTATTAATGTTGACTTGGTGAGGTCATGCAACTTTGTGTTCTGTAATTAGCTGCACTAGAGATAGATTGCCATACACTTTCTTCAAGTGATTGGATGCATTAGTTAACCAATTTACATTAAAATCACCTAATCTCATAGACCCATATTGACACACAGACACATATCAGATGTTGAAAGTGAGACATTTTACCATTTCATGAAAAACATTAACTCATTTAGATCTTGATGGCACCAGCGCATCTCAAGAAAGTGGGACAGGGGCAACAAAAGGCTGGAAAAGTAAGTGGTACTAATAAAAAAAACAGCTAGAGGAGCAATTTGCAGCTAACTTATATGACTGGGTATAAAAAGAGCATTTTAGAGAGGCAGAGTCTCTCAGAAGCAAAGATGGGCAGAGGTTCACCAATCTGGGAAAAACTGGGTCTAAAAATTGTGGAACAATTTCAGAAAAATGTTCCTCAACGTAAAATAGCGAAGACTTTGGAAGAGGGACCATCCAGCTTGATATCAATGCTGAACAGTATATAGAAGTTTCAGAACAACATATGCTGCCATCCAGACAACGTCTCTTTCACGGAAGGCCTTGCATATTTCAGCATGACAACGCTAAGCCACATACTGCATCCATCACAACAGCATGTCTTCATAGAAGAAGGGTCCGGGTGCTGAACTGGCCAGCCTGCAGTCCAGACCTTTCACCAATAGAAAACAATCTGGCAATGAACACCCAGGACTGTTGAGCAGCTAGAATCCTACATTAGACAAGAATGGAACAACAATCCTCTCCCAAAACTCAAGCAATTGGTCTCCTCACTTCCCAGATGTTTACAGACTGTTGTTAAAAGAAGAGGGGTTGCTACACAATGGGAGACATGAAACTGTAAAACATCTCACTTTCAACATCTGATGTGTGTTTATGTTCTATTGTGAATTAAATATGGGGCTATGAGATTTGCAAATCATTGCATTTTGTACATTTTTTACACACACACACATACACACGCGCGCGCGCGCACGTACGTATATAAGTATTAATTTACAATCACATAAGAAAACGACACAGATCAATTTAAAAAATTAAATACCACAAGACACAGTTTTAATGAAATGCTAAGTTACAGAGGTATGTTTTTAAATGCTTTTTAAAAGTGTGCACTGAGCTTGACTGTCTACTAAAATGTGGCCTCTTCATGTTTTCTGTATCTTACAGAAAGTATTTGCAGAAGGCCAGTATCTGCAGATATAAGATCACGTGCTGGAACATAAATGTAAAGCCTACGTCACACTTTTTTTTTTTTCTTAAAAGTAAAGGGGGCAAAGCAACAAACTGTGTTTAGTTCTCTAAGAAACCTGTAGTGAAGTCCTTTTAAGAACCATTTTTAAAAGCAAGATGTGCGAGTTTCAAGAACTTTTTAAGAGCCTCAACATAACGTAAAGGTACTATACCAATACAATGTTTTTTAGAGGTCTTGACCCAAGCATAAGCATAGGAACCTTTATTTCAACAGTGTACTTGCAAAACGTTCCTATTTCTTTTCAAAAATCACTCACAACTGAAATTCAGTGGACAATTGTGGCAGCTAATAAGAGCCCTAATCTAAACTCAGACTGGTCAAACTAAGGTCAAACTTACCTTGAAAGTCTTGTCCATGGAGGCAGAGAGCAGCAGATGGCTGAGATGAGGCACTGGGCACCACTGCACTGTATTGACTGGACCCTGGTGGGCCTGAAGGTGGTGCTGGACATATCTAGGCAACCCTGTTCTTCTGTCTTTCCTGCCTAGGAACGGACGTATCCTCTCAGACACCTCTGAGAGAAGATGCAAGTTTGTGGCCTTTAAGTTAAATGAACTTGCATTATTTAGCTCTGCTGACGCAGCCCGTGTGGTCAGTTTCTGTCTCTTTGACACGTACGGTCTCAGACTGAGGTCTGAGGTGGGCTGAGGTCTTTCTGCACTCCTAGCCACTGAATTTTGTACTGCTGGAAAAGGAGGGTTTATTGGTTGTTGGGTATATTCAGATGTTCTTTGAGGATGCCAGTTCGAAGAGGCAAGTTCTGTAGGACGACATGAGGGTGGTGTATAGCATTCTGTTTGATCCCTGTCGTAGTGGAGGTCGGAATTTGATGTAAAACTTGTGCGCCACCGCCTTTCCTCTTCTCTCTCAAGCACGATGCCACTCTTTCCAGGAAAGGGCTCCTCGCTGTCAGAATCATCATAATCCACTAATGATTTCATGCCACGACTGTGTTTCTAACAGATTTTCACAACCAAAACGTATTCCGCATCATGGTGGCTTTGCGCCCACACACAAAAAGCTAAATTAGTACGTACGATGCATGACTAAAGGAATATGTATTTTATATTTGATTAGTCCGGTAACTTCCGCCGTTTCACTAAAAGCTTTGTCTACGTACAGAACATTTCAGGTCCATTGACTGCTAACTTCTGCGTTCGTTTATTGTTAGAATAAGCTGGGTTTTTTGTCCTGAGGAAGAGGCATGTCACTACGCTTCTTCTTTCACTCGTATGGCGGAAGTGCAATACCGCCACCTTCTGCCCAGTAGTATCCATCTACAACTTTAAACCCCACACTTCCAGCGCCCCTGTAAGTGTAACTAACCTCACTTTGAGCTCTCATGAGTACGTGAGTGAACAGTGCATTGAACATGTACTAGTTAGCTACATTACTCTTATTAGACGAGAGAAAACGTTTTCGGTGCTGCCGTTAAGCACGCACGGGTGTAAACGTACGGTCGTTACTAAGAGAGAACTTGCAGAGGGGAGAATTACCACTCTGCAATGTCTTCCGGTTTTGTGAAACGCTAGCGGGCGCTGCCGAGTGAGTCCACAATGAATGGATGGATGGATGGATAGATAGATAGATAGATAGATAGATAGATAGATAGATAGATAGACAGATAGTTAGATAGAACTTTTTTGTTTCAGTAACAAGACATATAATTGCACATAAACTTACATATACTATGAAAATAGAAATAAATCTAGATATAAGTTAAAATACAAGAGAAATAAAATAAAAGTATATATATTTGCATATTTACATGGCATATGAGACAGATTTGTTGTATTTACATGACAGCAGGTACTGAGTGGTATGAGATAAACTAAAAGCACATATAGACATGACTAACTCAGAGTTGCATCAATATTATAGTGTAAAGTGCATAGTGAAAGTGTCATTACAGTAATAGTTGTGATATATTGCACAGTGTGATCAGTGATCAGGAGATCAGTACCATCTCTGCAGTAAGGAGTCTCGCTGTAGAGCCTTATAGCAGTGGGTAAGAAAGATCTCACACGGTGCCCTTTAACACAGCGCAGCTGTAACAATCTGCCACTGAATGTGCTTCTCTGTTTATCCAGTGTAGCATGCAGAGGGTGTGAGGTGTTATCCATTATGGCTAACAGCTTGTTGAGTGTCCTCTGTTCTGCCACAACCTCCAAAGAGTCCAGCTTGACTCCTACAACAGAGCCAGCCTTCCTAATAAGTTTGTTTATTTTGTTCAGAGCACTTTTGTTAATACTGCTGCCCCAGCACACAACAGCATGGAATAAAGCACTCGCTACAACAGACTGGTAGATTGTCCATAGGAGCTTAGTGCACAGACCTCAGCCTCCTCAGGAAGTAAAGACGGCTTTGGCCTGTCTTGTACACTGCGAGAGTGTTACAGCTCCAGTCCAGCTTGTTGTCCAAGTGCACACCCAGATATTTGTAGGTCCCAACCACCTCCACATCAACTCCATCAATGGTGACTGGTGGCAGGTTTGGACTTCCTAAAGTCCAGCACTATCTCCTTAGTCTTACTGATGTTTAGCTGCAGCTGGTTCAGTTTACACCAGTCAACAAAGTCCTTCACCAGCTTCCTGTATTCCTCCTCCTGTCCATTCCTCATGCACCCCACAATGGCCATGTCATCCGAGAATTTCTGCAGATGACATGACTCGGTGTTGTATTTGAAGTCAGAGGTGTACAGGTTGAACAGGAATGGAGCTAACACAGTCCCCTGGGGTGCCCCAACACTGCACACAGCCATGTCTGAGACACAGCCCTGCAGTCGCACATACTGGGGTCGTCCAGTCAGATAGTCCATTGTCCATGAGATGATGGTTTCATCCACCGGCATCAGCCGTAGTTTCTCCCCCTCACAGCACAGGCTGTATGGTGTTGAATGCACTGAAATCGAAGAACATGATCCTCACAGTGCTGCCTGATGTGTCCAGGTGAGAGTATGTTCTGTCTAGCAGGTAGATCCAGGCATCATCCACTCCAGATTGAGAGCTGTTCTGAGGTCTCAGATGAGCTAGCATCAGCCTTACATGTGTCTTCATTAAGTGGGATGTCAGTGCAACCGGTTGATAATCATTCAGTGCTGACGGTTGCGTTTTCTTGGGGACAGGAACCACACAAGATGTTTTCCACATAAGATGTGCTGAAGAATTCCACACAGCTGCTCCGCACACAGTTTCAGCACCCTAGGTTCAATGCCATCAGGTCCAGCTGCTTTGCTCTGCTTAAGTTTTTTTCAGTTCAATCTTCACCTGATTAGCAGTGAATGTAACATCACTGGACATTGCAGTTGTTGGGGGTGGGTGAGAGGTGTCCATTGCAGACAGTGGTTGCTGATGGTCACAGATGTGAATGGCTGTGGTGGAGGAAGGTGAGGCTGTGGATGGCCCATGGCGTAGTTGTGTAGGTGTGTTAATCTGCATAGGAGACAGACACAATGGAGCAAGAGAGGAGCCGTTGTCAAACCTCACAAAGAACTGGTTTATCTCATTTGCCCATTCACGCTTTCCCTCTGCTGGAATAGGGCTGCGTTGGTTGAAGCCAGTGATGTCTTTTAGGCCTCTCCAGACATCACGAGTGTTATCCAAGTTTTCCAGCTTGGACTTGTATGGAGCATTTGAAAATTATAGTTGAAAATTATAGTTTATAAATGTTGAAAATTATAGTTTATAAATGCTTAAACATTTTTAATGTAAAAGAATGCAATCATTTCCTGAACACTGAATAGCGTAAAACATTTTTACACCGTTATATTTTTAAGAACTTTTAAACTCTCGAGCGCCCTCTGCTGTTTAGCAGTCCTGCTTTTGATATAACCGGGGGTGGGGGGCGGGGCTGGCGGAAGTTATAGGAAGTGGGAAGTGGCCTGGCTCCTCATAAACCCGGCTTTGCTACTAAGCCTTTCGAACCTTATAACATCATATCCGGAGCTGAGAGTGTGGCAGTTCTATGTATATATATATATATATATATATATATATATATATATATATATATATATATATATATATATATATATACAAACGGATATAACAATAGGATACATGACAACCTTTGTATACCAGAATAAAAAAAAATAATAATTATAAAAATAATAAAAACAAAAACAAAAAAAAGAAAGAACATTGGGATTAAAATAAAACTGAAAAGCTTTAACACAGCAGTGGCTCTACAATATTTCTTATTTTGCTGCTGGCGCCAGTTCACTAATGTAGAAATGTAACCACGTAAATCTGTGCGTACATAGGTCATATATGAAGGTATTTTTCTGGCAAATTGCACCTTATGTATATAAGATTTTGCTATTATTATGATCAAGTTTATAAAACACTATATATATATATGCGTGCGTGTATATTATATGTGTCTGAGGGGTGTGTAAACTAGTGCTCAGTGGTCCTCATGGTGTGGAACTATGTTTTGTAAATGTTTCACTGGGGAAATCCTTTTCTGCAACACTGGAGTGGGTAAGTCTGATGCAAACTGAATGAATAGAGAGTAAAGTAGTCTTTCAACCTCGAAGTGGTAGGTAGGTAGCTGTTTTACTGGTGTTCAAGCTGTATAAACATTACGAATTTCGGTGTCGTTGATCTTGTTAAATTGTCGACGAGTTAATGTGAGCAGGCTGGCAAGAGTAGAAAGCTATGAAGGCTAAAGTTAGTTCACATATGGCATATGGTTTACTGAAACGGAAGCTCTCCGACAACTGAGGCCGTTAACGCTAATAGTATGACTTGACAGATCCTTAGCAGATTAACGATGTACAGAAAGCCAGGCTTTTTATGTAACTTATGACCTCGGGCTTTCTGGGGTTTGCAGGCTAGAAGATGGCAGACTGTCAGGGAGATGGGTCGCCTGATCTGACCCCCATGGAACTTTACGAGAAGCTCAATGCACAAGGAGAGAAAGTCCGAGGCCTTAAGTCAGAGAAGGCTGCAAAGGTAAGTACGGTTGTATTATCACCACAAATAGTAACGAGGGGAAGCACCTTAAAACTGACACGTTAATGGTCATGAGAGCCCTTTTGGACCATCTGAATTATACTGTGCTGTTTTGCTTTGTGGATAATTTTTACGTAATTGTTAGGTTGTGCAGTTGATGGATAGAAATTATAAAGTTTATTTATTTTTGTCAAGACCGAGATCGATGCTGCTGTACAGTTGCTGCTGAAGCTGAAAATAGATTACAAAAGAATCACAGGTCAGGATTACAAGGCTGGTTGTCCACCGACTGACATCGTCGTTTCAAATAGTAATGGACCAGCTGTAGAGGATGGGAATGATCAAGTGGACCCCTGGAACGTCTCTACCACCAGTGCCAAAGGAGTAGACTACGACAAGCTCATTGGTTGGTTGTAGTCATCATTTACCTAATGTAAATGTTTTTGCATGCTCACTCGTTCTTTGTATGTTTTAAACAGACGCTTGCATTTGATTAGTTCTTTCAGAATATTTAGTTTTACTGATGTTGATATTTTTTATCAGTCAAAAGCTTAAAACTGGCCTTTTCTTGCCATTGTTCACAGTGAGATTTGGCAGCAATAAGATTGACCAACAATTGATTGACAGAATTGGCAGACTCACTGGTCAGATACCTCACCGTTTCCTCCGCCGAGGAGTCTTCTTCTCACATAGGTTGGCCTTGTTGCAGTAGTTGTGACGCAATTTGTATTTGCATCCACTTTATTACAGGGTCACATTGTATTTTTCTGTGATGGTTGTCTTCCAGAGACATGCATCAAGTCTTAGATGTCTACGAGAGCAAGAAGTCATTCTTTCTTTACACAGGCAGAGGGCCTTCATCACAAGCCATGCATGTCGGCCATCTTATCCCCTTTATCTTCACCAAGTGAGAATGCTCATTGTCTTAAACAGGAATTAGCCCTTACAGTGATGGTGCATTGTCTGACAGCAATTTATACCTATGTGCTTAACAGTCAGAACTACGAATTTCCATTAGAAATGCTCTTTTAATGTCATTTACCACATTTGCCATAAATGATAAAGCCTCTTAAATGTCCTGTAGATGGCTTCAGGACATGTTTGATGTACCTCTGGTCATTCAGTTGACTGACGATGAGAAATATCTGTGGAAGGATCTGACACAGGAGGAGTGTCATCGTTATGCGGTGGAGAATGCTAAAGACATAATTGCTTGTGGATTTGATGTCAACAAGACATTCATCTTTTCTGACCTAGACTATTTGGGGTAAGGAACAGACACCCTATAGCCTGGGACAGTGTAAAACATACATTGATAAAAATTGGTTAGTTTTTAATAACAGCTGTGGTTTGGTTAGAATTTTACCCAACTTTTACTGCAGTTACAAAGTTAGTTTTATAACCAGCAGATGTCTCTGTGGTCTTACAGTTGTAACAACTATGAACTAAAATATAAAATTCAGTCACCTGATTTCTCTCAAATGGTTATGGGAAATAACTTGGTAACATGGAAGCCTTGCTTACAGCTAAAATAATACTGGTCAGACGAAGGCCATCAGAATACTCCAGTGCTTTCAAAATGGACTTTCTGTCTCTCTACAGCACGAGTCCATCATTCTATAGAAATGTAGTGAAAATACAGAAACATGTAACATTTAACCAAGTTAAAGGCATCTTTGGATTCACAGACAGCGACTGCATTGGTAAGAACACCAAAGTACTTAAAAATATAATAACTGTAAACAGATTTTGACTTTAGAACTGTTTTGCAGTGTCTCAATCTAAATGCTACCTTACATTTCTCTTCAGGAAAGATCAGTTTCCCTGCAATACAAGCAGCCCCTTGCTTCAGCAGTTCATTCCCACAGATCTTCAATGACAGAAAAGATTTGCAGTGTCTTATCCCCTGTGCAATTGACCAGGTCAGTGAGTTTGTAATTTTAGCCTCAGATGCTCCATGTACATATTGCTACAGCAAACTGGCCACAACTGTCAGAATTTTGATTCTATCTGATTGTTGATAGGCTTTTCACAACACTTAATGTATATACTTCTTGGGTTTGATCTGTCCAAAAGGGAGCAAACTTTTGCAAGCGGTTGCATGTTCTGCGTGATGCAGTGAGCTGGGTGATATGGCCAAAAATCTTATCACGTTAAAAAATTTCATGTCAGTCGATATCGATACATATCGCGTTAAATGTCAAATCATTATTTCCGTCAAGTTTGAAGGCTGATTTTTTTTTCTCCTGAGTGGTTAATTGCTGTTTAAAACTATCCTATATGGTCAGAACAAAACACTTGCCAAACAGTTGAACATTTCACAAGTCTGTTATGGGATAGTGGGAGAAAGTTTCAGGTTGTCTGTTTTTACCAGCTGGAAAAGCATGGCCGCAATTTTTGTAATAGTCATAATTTAAGAAAGAAAACAGATTATTTTAGCTGTCTGGTGACGAGTGCTAAGCTGTTTAGTTTCTCAACACCGTCAGCTTTGTATGAACAGCAAACATTAGCTCGGTAGGTCAGTGATGGATCACAACGCCTTAGTGCCATCACTCCTACCACATCCATGTCAGAGTATATCACAGTATTTAAACACCAGCTAGCAGACATCTGCATTTCTCTATTCTAGCTATCATAGTAGTTTGAGGGGTGGGCCTGAATCTGACGCTTGCTGTGTGAAAACATTGTGTGATTCTTTCACACCAGATAAAGAGTCCTCTTTTAAGGTACGTTTGAACAGAAATCAGCGCTTTTTTTTGTTTTGTTTGATCTACAGCAACATCAATTCGACATGCTGTGCGAGTGATAGAGCGCTGCTTCAAGTTAGCCAGCTGCTAAAAACTGCTAGCCTGGGAAGCTAGCATTCTCCCACTCTCCAATGGCACACATAGGGTATCCTCAGTTTACTTTTGTGTAAATCAGCGCTGTAACTAGCATGAACCCACTTGTTTCTTTCACTTTCATTGTTTAGGAATTCATTAATACTAAAATATGACTGTCTGAGCGCAGTATAGTTAACTACACCACTTATCTAGTCACTCACACTTGGTCTCAGGAGAACAGATCGCTGATTGCTCCACTCAAACAGGGAATATATAACTCCACGTTTCAGACGTTGCTAAAGTGTATTTGGCGACTCATTTCACTCCTTTGTTGTTCACAGAAGTGTCAGTAGCCCTGTTTAAAAAGTCACTTACCCCTACTGTCACACCATAACAATGATTTGTGGATGGTTAATTTGATGTCAGTCAGATGGCCCTTTGCTGTAAACAGTTCTTTGCCATGTTAAGTGGCCATAAAACACTAGACTCTGACCTTAGCCAGAAATGTAGCTTTAAAAAATTAGTTTGTAGTCATAAACCACAGTGGATATCCATTTTCCCCTTTTCTTAATAGTTGCTTATGACTGTGATTGCCAAACTAGGCTTAATATAGATGCTATGCAAATATTTCAGAGATTTTTAGTCTTGAGACTACGTTCGTAGTGATCCTGACATTGCTGACCACATTAAGCAAAATGTAAACTTTAGTATAAATGTTTTTTTTTGTTTTTGTTTTTTTGTTTTTTTTTTAAATCTTTGAATTTGTCATCATTTATTCCGCTTTGACTAACATTTTATCATATTGTGTACTTTTACCTAAAAATATCCAAAGTTTATTATGCAACAAAAGTAATCTTAAAAAGTATCTTGAACCTGTAAATTTTGATTGGGAAAAAAATTACAAATTAAATGTATTGTCAGTGCATATGCCTACATTGGTAATGTAAGTTTTTGTTCACCTGTCACAGGACCCCTATTTCCGTATGACTCGAGACGTAGCTCCTCGAATAGGGTACCCCAAACCTGCTCTGCTACACTCCACCTTTTTCCCTGCTTTGCAAGGAGCTCAGACCAAGATGAGTGCCAGCGATCCTAACTCCTCCATCTTCCTGACAGACACACCCAAACAGATCAAAAACAAGGTAGTCTTCCAGCTACACACAACCCCAGCAACTATGACAGTTAGGCTGTGTCTGTGTACAGATTATCTACATTTTTAATAACAAAGGTTCCTGAATGGTTCTTTCATGGTGTAGACGTTTGGTTTTATAAATTTAAAAAAAATGTTTTTTCACACTCATTTACAAAAATGGCTTATCACCGAACCATCTATTGGATGGTTCTTTAGGGAACTTACATGGGTTATTCCATTGCACAGGTCCCCTATTTCGGACCTTTATTTTTAGGAGTATAGGATTAGGCTAAGACAATTAGATGCTAGAAAGTACTGTTCAGCCTAAAACAAAACAAAAATGTGCAATGTCTGTAAGCTATGTAAAAAAAACACAACAAGTAACACCATTGTCCCTTCTGATCTCAAGTAGCTGTTGGTAAGATGACTCTGATTCACACAGATCAATAAGCACGCATTCTCTGGTGGAAAAGACACTATAGAGGAACACAGGAAGTATGGAGGAAACCCAGATGTAGATGTGTCATTCATGTACCTGACCTTCTTCCTTGAGGACGATGAGGAGCTGGAGAAAATTAGACAGGTTTGATTGTTAGACATTCTCCGTTGAGTGCTTTTTCATTGGGACTCTTTTTATTTATTTATTTATTTTTTTTTTGGACTCTTTTTATGAATAGTGGTTTTCCAGAAAGCAGACACTTGGTATTGTAACACTTTCCTTCCAGGATTATACCAGTGGAGCACTTCTGACCGGTGAACTGAAGAAGCGTCTAATTGAGACCCTTCAGCCTCTGATTGCAGACCACCAAAACAGACGCAAGCAAGTTACAGATGAGACTGTCATGCAGTTTATGACCCCACGAAAGCTAGACTTCCACTTCTAGTTTAAATGAAAGAAAGAAGTGGGAAATGGCCACAATTCATAAACCTCAAGGACCAGTGACAGTCATGCCCTGTTGATCAAAGAAAATACGAGATAAAAGTCAGTCTAAAAGCACTTCAACTGGTTTATATATAATGATGTTGTTCAACATGTCAAATAAAACAAGTGAATAACATCACTTGTCATGGTATCTAACCAGTTTACTAAGGATGAACTGACAAACAAGTGTCTTAACAAAATAGACTTGTGTGTGTGATGTTATGAATTTTTTTTTCCAGTTTTTAACACAGTTAAACTTTTACCTGACTATTAACACTATCCACTTAATACATTTATCTAAAATGTGCAAGAGCTCACATTCATATGTTTAGAGCTTGCATAAAAACGTATAAATCAGTTAGCAAAATAATGAGTTACTGTAAATTGTCAGCTCTTGTGATGTTTCTAAAGCAGCTTTTGAATGTCACTCCAGGCCTGTCTCCAATAAAATACTTGAAAATGGCTTTTACTTGTATAATAATACAATGGACATGCCAGAACGGGAAGAACGATCATACAATATACAATATGGAAAAAAAAAACATGTAAGCAAATTACTCATAATTTGTTTTATTAACCACAATATTAAAGGTGCAACATCAGGCTCTGCAGGGTGGTAGATCTCCAGGATTTGGCACCCTCTGGTCTACACTGACCTTGTTCTAAAATCTGCCTGTTACCAATGAAATTTCTGACAGCAAGTCTTATGTGAATGGTAAAATCAAGTAAATGATGCTCAAACTCTGCATACTGTACGTTCTCCAAACAGAAAATTATCAAACTGAATGTAAATAACACATTGGGCCTCATTCACCAATCCATCTTAAGATAAAATTTCTTAACACCTACTTGCGCAGTTTTCACGAAGATTTGGACATTCACCAATGTTTTCATATTTGGGATTCTGCTTAGGTAAGGACTAAGGACTTTTTCTTAGGACCTTTCTCTAGAACAAACTTTAGAAAACACTTCGGAAATTATTCGTGAATGAGGCCCATTGTTTACTTCATATATAAATAAACAGGTCAAACTTTTAATATGTACCTTTAGATACAGTATGTTGGTGCTATTGGAACAAGAACTTTACAAGAGAAGGAAAAATTATAATAATATAATGCAAGATAATGTAACAAGTAATTTTAGATCATTTATGTTGGCCTGTTCATTCTAAAATTCTAACACAATGCAAAGCTGAAAATTTCACATTATGCAAAAAAGTAAAAAATGGCAAGAATGGAGCCATAAAGTTTTTGTGCGACAGTGACGATATGCTATGTGAGGTAGTCACCACAAATCATTAACTAATAAAAACATAATACTTAACCCTTCAGCCTTTCACCCTTCAAGTTCATTTAGTTCTGCAGCATAACTTGTCTTTTCACATTATCAGTGTTAGGGTGCCTGATGCTAAAGTAAAATCATTTATACAATACAGATGCCTAAGCATGGCCTATGACTCTGTTCGTATCAAACTGAGTACCAGCTCATACATTACAAAAACGGCCATGTTGACTGGAAAGGCACGTATGCAGTTGAGGGCAAGGCCTTTGAAAAGAACACCTGGTCCCTCGATTCTCACACTTTCTCTTATACAATGAAGAAGTCCTCTGTACCGCCTCTTGTCCATGCCGTCAGTCTGTAAGCGGGCCTTTATCACATCCATGGGGGTCCCAATGCACCAGCCGCACATTCCTGATAATCCTCCAGCAAACATCACCACCTTCCAATCTGGCTTTTTTCCAACTGGTAAAGGGGTGAAAGCTTATAATAAGGTATAGTACAGGTAAAGTTTTCACATACTTGAAGAATTAAGTATACACCCAAGTTCTCAAACAATTCATATTTGGAATGCAGTGTGTGAAAAACAGGTAAAAATTCTTAAGACTTACATGGCTAGGTTTATCAGAGACCACAGTTATTGTAAACATTTACATTTTAAACAGACAGTCTCATCAAAAGCAGCTTAGAATGGTAGCTCAATGTAACATTTTTTTGGTTGGGTTGCCTAATTTGCCTCTGGTGACAGCTTCAAAACAAGAAGCTAATTTTTAATTGGAAGCAACTTAAGGCACTGATAATCTAGTTGTGTGAGAAGGGAGAAGAGTCAGTCATTTACCTCTGCAGTGATACCTCTGCAGTAATTGGAAGCAATTTAAGGCACTGATAATCTAGTTGTGTGAGAAGGGAGAAGAGTCAGTCATTTACCTCTGCAGTGATTGGAGGCGTTCTGATATTTTCAAACATTTTTGATTTTTACCAATAAAAACTTTCATTTTCTTGCGTTGGTAAGACGCTCATGTCACATGTCTGAACAAGTGATTCAAGCTAGGAGGGGGGGAAAGGCAAAGGGGAAGTATATGCACAGCAATAGAGGAGTTGCTTTTTGAGCACTTACCAGTAGCGGTGTAACGGTACGCGTATTCATCCCGAACTGTCACGTTACTTAGGTTACAGTTCGATGCATGCAGTCGTACACGGTATATGCAGTCTTACACGGTATATACGAAGATTGATAAACTTACTACGGAACCAAATTTCACAAACGCGAGTTCCACCCGGAAACCTTAAGCTGTAAGCCATTAACAAGCTAGCAGCGGCAGTCTGCGGAGATATCTCTGCAGATTGCGCCAAATGATCCAGGCTACTTAGAATTCATAACTGCAGCAGCGTGTTAACTCCTGACATCCGATCAGCTGTGAGGCTGAGTTTAAGGTGTTTGGACAGTAAACGAGAGGTTAAGAAGGCAGATATCGAGGTAAATAAAAAGAGGGTATTAAAAAAACACAAGCTGAAATTAAACAAATGAAACGAGACTTATCCCTATCCACAGCCTACAGTATTTTTGTGCCTGTGAAGAGATTCTGCACAAAGCCTTACGCATTTTTCTGTTTTCTCTGTTCCTAACTTAGAAAATCACAACTGGCATTGAACTATTAGCACACAAATTAGTTAATGTTAGTGACTGTCAGTGCAAATGCCACACACTACAGGCTGTACCAACAAAAGTTGCATACTCAGGTGGGTCTGTACAACACTAGGTGGAACAAACTGTAACATTACTACATTGCATTACTGTCTGTTGAAAATGAATGAAAAGAAACCTAGTCTTATGCATTTGGGGGTTTTGGATGTTATACTCTTGCTTTTTTTTAATATACTATACTGTTATACTGAACTCTTACTGAACCATGACCTGTGTACCATTACACCCCTACTGGCCAGTGCATGAGTGATCCTATAACCTTACTGCCTTTATAATAACCAAAGCTTTCAATTTGACATCAGCTTGTCAGTTCATAATACTAAAATGCTTCTCCCATCGTTGCTAGGATGAATAGGATGTCAACATTTACTAACCTCATTCATTCACACTGTGCTTCTTGTACATGCATAAAAGTACAAACAAATTTGGTCAAGTTTCAGCCTAGTTTATGTTGTGATAATGGCGAGTTTGACATTTTTCAAAATCTTTAAGGATTTTGTTAGTCATGTAGTGTACACCCAGCTTTTATATGATATTCTTGCCTCCAGTCCTGAGAACAGGCAAGTCCATTCTCTAGCAATTCTTTCTCTTTTGCTAATTTCTGTTTGTACTACATTATGTGTGTACTACTTCCTGGGTCACAGCTCTGCAGAAATTAGTGTTTTTTTCCTTTTCTAACACTAAATTCAACTCATGAAGGCCTTGCTAATAGGGGCAGTGCTAGGGTCACCTCTGTCACCGCCCATGCAAACCATTTATCCCTAACTCTGACAAAACCTCTATGGTATGTTAGGTCAAAGTCATCATTTTCTTGACATCAGTACATCTTTTATGTGTAATTAGAAATTGTGTTAAGGTTTAAATTATTGCAACTGACCACAAATGATATTTACAAACCATCCCAAGGTAGCTGACTAAAAAGCTGACACTGAGCTGACATAAACTAATTAGTTAATTATTAATGTAACATTAGGCAGCTACAGCTCTAAAGTTAGAGCTTGATAGCTGAACCTGACTACAGACTTTTTTCTTTCTTATTCAAATTTCTAGTTATGCCCACAATGTCTATGCACATAACTACAACTACCAACATGCACGATGTAGGGGTGGAGGCGGAAACACAGTAATCTATATAAGTGGAAGAAACATTTCCCTCTTTTAACACGATGCTGCATCCAGAACTTAATACCACCACACTATACCTACTATACTAATAAATGCAATTCTAATGGTGGTTAACTATTTTTGACATACTATTTAGTACAGCAGTATGCGGTTTTGGACACAGCCTATGAAATCAACTCAAGAAGACTTTGCTAACAGGGGCAGTACTAATGTCACTGAACATCTGGTGCTTAAGCCCCATAGGCCCACCCTTGGCCCATGCAAACCAATTATCCTTAAATCTGACAGAACCTCTACGGTATGTTAAGTCAGTAAATTCTCTAAAAGCTAGCATGTCTTTATGTCTAATTAGAAACCTATATGTGAAAAAAAGCTGTGGGGCTGACGCTGTCTAAATTTCTTATTCTTTTTTAAATATCTAGTTATGTCCATAATGCCAGTGCACATCATGAGTAGCCCATAGGAGCAGGAGGATGCAAACACAAACATGTGAAGTTCGCTAACTAAAAAGCATGCGACATGCACCGTAACACACTGATGACTAGACATCTTTAATGAGCCAGAACACTAAATAGTGCAGAGCTGTGGTCCAGAACGAACAGAATTTGACACCCGTGTTAGGAAGATTTTTACCTGGTTGACTATTGTTGTCTGGAGACAGCCATTCACAGACAGTGTTATAGACGAGGAAATAGGTGGCAAAAGATGGGCCATCCCTCAATGCTAAAGCACCAGCTCCCCTGTAAAGACCCAGGACACCCTCCTCACGTGCAATGGTGAAAAGGCAGTGCACGGGCCCCCTGTATTTAGGCCTGGCTTTGAGGTCAGATCCTTCATATGGCTCGGTCTGACACTGGAGACAGACTTTCACAATGTCTGCAGGGGACATTACCGAAACCTTACACAAACAAAGGGAATTCAGGTATAATAATAGAGTTATTAACCATAACAACCATTATTAAAATATTGTAGAAACCGGGCATTTCTGGTTCTTAAAATGTTTAATATCTTCTGGAATATGATCCAAACAGATAATGTGAATTAAATGAGTAGCTACTTAAGATTATATTGACTGTACTCTGTTGTCACAATGCAGCTAATTCATAAATATTTCTACATGTAGATCTAAAACTTAACCAAAAGACATGTAAATATTAAGCATATTATATCATATAACATTATTGCTTCATTAGACCAGTATTTCGTGCATACTCTTGTTGCGTATTTGTGGGAACTCACACAATTGAATCTTTTGTCTCAAATCTTGGTGTTTTTTGTGCAGTGTGCTGGCTGTCTGCTAACTCACTCGCCATAGTAGCACTGATGATAGCTTCAATGGCAACAGAATATTTGGTTCAACAAATAGAAATTGAAAACTGAAATGCTTTTTTCTAGTTTTGTAATGCAGACTTTCACACCTCGAGGTCTTACACATCTCTTTCGTCTTTGATTTGAGAAATGAGTAGCAATTCACTCTTTCCACCAATCTCTTGGGAAATTGTTTTTCAGATTTACAAATTTGCTACAGCATACTGTAAAGTATTTCAGAGGTGTCCTGGGCATAGATATAGTTGCTAGGCTATGAAGGACCAACTGGTTGAGCCAATCTGCTACAAGGCCATCCTGCAGCAGACCAGTGCTGCATCTCTAGTTAGTTAAGAATACACATGATGCAGACTAAACAAAGACCTTTCCCTGAATTTGTATTTGAGCATCAATTTTTCTCTAATGAACAGCATAATAAGTTTATTTTCAGGGACCCCCTAGATTTTTAATTTTTTGACATTCAGGGGGTCCAAAGGGTTAATTAGGGGGTTCCAGCCCAGGACCCCTTGTAACCCACACCTTGCTTTTATAGTAGATGTACTTGAGTTTTTTACCTGAGCAATTCCGCCAGCTAAGCCCGACAGAAAGATGTGCCACTTAGCGCTGGGTGCATCTGCACTTTTAAAACTCAGCTGGTGGAAGACTTGAAGTGCATTTCTATAAGTGCCGAAGACCACAGAAGAGCTGACAGAGACCGTCGTTATAGGCATGGACATCCCCTTGTAGAAACCATACATCTGTGAAAAAGAACATGGGCTTTGGGTCAACAAAAAATAGTAAAAAATACATCAAATGATTTTCCAGCTACATACCCCTTCTGTTCTGCAGGTTGTGCGAATGCACTGCCAAACTCCAGTGAATTTTCTCTGTGTCTGCATTTTGACCTGAGAAATCCAGAAGTATAAAAAATTAATTTTAGTAAGCAGCAGGCAATAATATATATATATATATATATATATATATATATGGAAGAATAGTTTCTACCTTAACAGTATCAAGAGGATGTCCCACAGCCACTCCAAATGCCCCTAGATAACAAAAAATGACATGTTAACCAGTCATTCAATTTACCTAGATACTATACAAGAGCTTTAGTTTTGTGGCAATGTTCTGAACATAGAGAAAATTAACTAGCACCATTCATATTAATACAAATAAGACTGAACTTGCCCGTCTTCGCAATACCGAGGTTATCTCTAGCCGTCAACCCATTTGGAAAATCTTTTGAAGACATGAGAAGACGATAAATGTAAAAAAAATGTATGAAAGTTTGTATGCTCCCTTGAGGTTGATATTTTTACCGATAAAAAGAAATATAACATGATAAAGTATGGTGCAAAAGCTTACATAGTGTAAATACGAATATAATAAGACTGATCAGGCATTGACGTTTTTTCTTTACTCGGCCGTATTCGCGAAACATGAGCACGAATACAATTTGTTACCTTCATTCCATTAAAAGTAAATTCGGTCCATACTTCTTAGAAGTGTATTTCTTCGTGACGTAGAACGTTTAATTTCCTTGTACAGAGCTGATGGGACCTCGCCTTATTTTACTTTATTTATTTATTTTAAAAAGATTTTTCGACCTGGCTACTGTCAGTACTGTCAGAGTCACCACGTTGTCCCATTCACTGACCTTCATAACACGTTATTTAGATCGATTTTATAGAGGTTAGTCACTTTCAGAGTCAAATCGTCCCATTGACGGCCGTTTCATCACAACAGTTTTTGATAGTTTCATAGACACTAAAGTGTATAATAGTCCGGTTAGCTACCTCCAACAGAGCCGGCGATGAAGTCTGCAAGCTGCATCCTCGCTTTCCACACACTAACTAGCTAGCTAACGAGCTAATGTTAACTGAAGCAAAATTTGTCTTCCGATGTGACAGACAGAGCTCGCATAATAGCTCTACTTTTACTTTGTTCTAGCTGCCCGATATTTTTAAATCAAGTGCAATAGACGAAGCTTCCGTGAAAGCGACTGGTATTTAACGCAGTGCTACTGTGTGAGCATTGATCCTTGATTTCATTTAACGTGTCACTAAATTTACTGTTCGTGCTGAAACAGAGTCAGAGGAGGAAAGAAAGGGGCGCTGCGTCTCGATCCGCCGACAAGTTCCATATGTAGCTAGGGAATCAGTAGATAGTAAATACGAATTCGGCACTGGCTAGGTCCCCCGCAGGTAGGGAGATTGGGACACCGATGACTGAATTACGTGTGACACGGATGCGAAAACAGTATGCAGCATTGACTGTATCAGAGGATCTAATATACGTATATGATGTATGTATGAGGTGAAAAGTGAAACCAAAACGTCTCTGATGCCTTCTGGTGGCTGGCTGCAGTACATGTTCTAACCCCACCCACACCCAAGTATCAAACTTGGATTTAAGTTTACACATTCAGTATTTTTTGCGTATGTTTTCAGTATGTTGTGTGGTGTCACTTCTACAAGCTTTCGTGCCTGTAAACCATACCCCATTTGTGTTGTTTTTTTCACGATAGATTCGATACAAAAGCAGTTATTAAAACTTTCCTTTTGCAAAAGTAGTGCAATTGAAACAATTAAGCAATACTTACAGCACTGTAAATGCATCTCCAATAACTGCATTTATAAGCTGCATCAACATTTTTATGGTTAATAAATGGTAAAGAAAATGAAATATACAAAAGACAAAGTTACATCCTATGTAATTTATTGTAACAGTTAATTTACAGGTCATGTTATTTATTTAAGATATAATTTTATTTTGAATTATCTAAGCATTAATTAAAATAATTGAATTCAGGAGTATCTAAGAAGATAAAACTGGTGCAACGCAGTGTCTTTTTTCCAAAGTTTGTCTTCATTGTCCAGCTTTGTATGGATGACTGGCTTAATTGGAGACACAGAAACATTAAACTTCTGCTGGATGTGGTCTGTAATGAAAAACAAGAAGGGGAAATCTTACTCTTCTCAGTTAGTTATTCTTGTTCAAACTGCACGGTAGATATGGAGACAATTTTATTCTAATTTAGTTACGTCCAATACCACTGATTATTCCCCCACTCCACCACAGCCTAGCCCATGCTCGCAAGGAAGGCTGTAGGCCACCACATGCCTCCTCTGATACATGTGGAGCTGCCAAACCCCTTTTCACTGAATAGCAGTTGATTTCTATGGGGAGTAGTTTAAAAATTACTGCAATGCAGTCTATGCAGTATAACTGCAATAGAAAAACAATTATTCAATTTGACCATTTAGCAATATGAGTGTATTTTATACTGCCCAAATCCATCTAGTCCAGCTCCCTGACCTACCACTGTGGTTTAACCACGCTGTGGTTTATGTGTGCATTGCAGGAGACATGTGAAAGCCATTATTTGATGTACTGCATGTAGCTAAGAGGTTACATTCAAAATGTTCTTAAAATTAAACAGGGATTTTACAATATCACATGATTTTCAAATGTATTTGGCCACAGAACAAGTTCAGTTCAAAAGCAAAGGCATTCTTTACTTTTTATGTAAGTTAATACATTGCAAGTTAATAGTCTAAAAGGGATTTAATCAAATCCCTTTTAGAGTATTTCTATTGGTCCATTCATCGTTAACTTTTCACACAATATAAAGGGCAGTTGCTGTGCTCAAATGATAATGAATATTTAAAAAAAAAGATACTTGTGTTTTTTTTTTTTTGAACAGCTGGGATTTGCTTGGAATTGTTAAAAGCCACAAATGTGATGGCTGATACAATCAGATAACTGTATAAATCCTATTATGATTGGATTATTGAGTGCATGTAAAAGCACTGAGTGCATTTACATGCACTTAATAATTCAATAACTTCAGAAAATTATATTGTGTCAGTAAGCCAATCAACATGTTTACATGCTCCTGAGTACTGAGTAATCAGCTAATGGGAATGTTCCGGGTTTCTTTGATTTCTTATATTGGAGTAAGGTCTAGAAATCCAATTAAGAAATCCGGTTAAGCTCAGTAATCAGATTTCTCAGTGCAGATTTCTTTTGGATTTCTCAGTCTGCGCATGTGCGAAACAGACTGCGGTACCGGAAATAAACAAGCAGCGGTGCCGCGAGATGGCAGCAAAACACTTGTGGAGTGACGCTGAAACCAACTACATGCTTGACGAAATGAAGGATTTAAATATTCTTTGTCTTCTAGGTGATGTATGTTCATAGTTTCAGGTAAAGTGGCTCGATGTTTTAAAAAAAAAAAGCTGCGTTTTTAAAAAAAAAAATCCGATCCGCCTGACTCATGAAGACCCAGAGTTTTCCCATTAGTCGATTACTCACATGCATGTAAATGCGTTGATCAGACTACTGACAAAATCTGATTTTTTGCAGTTAATGGATTATTAAGTGGGTTACTCAGTGCATTTACATGCACTCAATAATCCAATCATAATCAGATTTATGCAGTTATCTGATTATATTAGCCATCACATTTGTGGCTTTTATGTAATTTTGCTGTAAAGGTTTAGAAAATAATTAAAGTTGTTGGTAAACAGAAACTAAAAAGAAAATTCATGAAAAAACTGCTAATTATTTGTTTAATATGCGTTCAGTCTTAACATGGCAACAAGCAAATCCCACCTGTTTAATATTCATTATCATTTGAGCACAGCAGCTGCTCTTTATATTACAGTGCTCAAATACTACACACTTAGCAGTAACAATCACAGCGCATGCAGAAAAAAGCCCTATAGTTTGTAAGTTTCCTGTGAGTTTAACATACTATGATTAATAAAGTGATTCTACTGTACAATCTTTAAGTAATTGGCAGCCCAAATCCCTTTCTCAAGTGAATTTTAATGAATAGTTACAGTTAAAACATCATAAAATGGTAATTTCTAATAAGTAGTCCATAACACCAACAGATATCATGTTCAGTTTAACATATTATGTACACTTGACTTATGAAGTGATTCTGCTGTACAGTCTTTAATTAATTGGCAGCCAAATCAATACATTTGTCAACTGTATTTTAATGAATAGTTACAGTTGAAACATCATAAAATGGTCATTTCTAGTAAGTACTTGGTTTTATGAACTACCTGTATGAGATCACCGTTATATAATGTTTTAACTTCATTCACTAAAATACACTTGGCAAATGTACCCCCCGCAACGCAGAAAGATAAGCAGTTTAGAAAATGTGTGTGTATGTTTGTGTGTGTGTATGTGTTGCTATCATATATTATGAGCAGATATATATTACACAGTGAAATGTATGTATGTAAAGCTAGTATGATTAGAGTTATATTACTGCTTAATTGCATTAATCATTCTCATGTAGGTATTACATTCAGTCTCCACTATTGATCAGTACTCTCTTTTACTGTCACTGCAAAAAAAAATGGTTATTTTATAAATGGAACATTCAAGCAGGCTTTAGTGAGATACTAAAAGAAGGAAAAGCCTTATTTTTTCCAGAAGGCAAATCTAGCTAAGGTCAAGAATCCAACTCTGACTTGAAAGTTTGGGACTTCAAGTAAAAATCCTCTTCCGAAGGATATCTCTTTTGAAATAATATATAACACTGTCAAACTCCCCATGTTGCGCTTCTACAAAGCAACTCAACCAAAACCAGTGCTGAATGAAGAGCCTGGCAACAACCCTGACCAAACTAGTGGCTTATTCATTGACACACAGTGACAGGCTAAGATCAGAGGTGTTCACTGTTTCTGAACAAATTGGAGCCACACAATCCTCAGTGAATACACAACTCCTTGCTAGCACGGATCAAGTTGCAAGCACGTTTGTTGATGTCATCAGTGATCCCATCACTCTGTGGAACTAGAGTATGTTGTTGAAGAGGCCATTTCACATGCCATGGTAGCAGATGTGTCTGGCCCTAAGATCTCTTTTGGTGCACAGCAAATGGTTGGCGATGACTGTCTCAGTGACACATTAACCTATCAGCCCGATGAGTTTACCTCAAAGCCCCTCTCCTGCTTTGCCTACACGGATTTTGGTCTTGCTCTACTCAAACAGCTTCAGTAAGATGAGACATTTTCTGACCCTGAGATTATGAACACATTATTGACAGTGAGACGCCTGCTTCCTGACAGCTCATTGGAAGCAGGTACTGTGTCAGGTGTTCTGTAGGGATGACTACAGTTCCTTCTGGGCAAAATTCTATGAAAGGTGTACCCATAGAACAACTCTGAAAGTACCTTTCCTCATGGAATGATGAAAAACGATAACACAGCTACAGATGACTCTCAGTTGTAAGGAACTGATCAAAATATACAGTGACCTAAAACTGATGCCAAAAAAAGTGGCAAAAATGTTAGTTTCCAACGGAAATTACATCAAAGCAAGCAGAGGTTGCCAAACTCGTGAGAAGATACACCAGAGAACTTGATGAAGACAAGCTCAGAAAATTTTTGAGGTTCTGCACAGGCTCTGATTTGGTGGTATCAGGTGTTATTGAGGTGGAGTTCACTGACCAGAGCAATTTCACAAGGAGGCCTATTGGACGTACATGTGGGATGCTCATACATCTCTCTGAGAGCTATGAAAATTTTACTGACTTCTGCTCTGAATTCTGTGCTGTTCTGGAGAGCAACATCTGGGTGATGGACATTGTATAGTGAAGAAATATGATGTCAAAAGCTTTTTATTGTGGCCTGGATGTCTTCACTTTAAACATAGTTTATACTGACGCATATACACACATAAGCATTATTCTTTGCAGTAAGAATGCAAACACATAAATACATAATGTAATGTTATGCAAACGTTCTGCTTCAGATGAAATTATTCTTACACAGTCTTGTTATTTTTGTTCAGAAAGTATTATATGTTCAGTTTGATACAGTATTAATTTGCAAAATTAGCAATAATAACTAGAGGAAAAGGACTTGAAGACAAGGGTTTTTTCAGGGCATTGGTCCTTTTGTTGGGCATTTTTGTTGTTTTCAATAACCTTTATTTTTGCCTTAAAATTTAGTATTAAATATTTTGTGTATATAATTATTGTGTCTAGCCCTTTCCTAACCTATAAATAGACAACATATATGAGAAGTTATTTTGTCAGGTCTCAAATGCATATAATTATAAGCATGTAATTTATTTAGGACACGGTCTCTTAGAAAGTGACCTCAGCTCTAAGGACCCACTGGCCTGCACAATTTCAAGCACTCCTGCTTCAGCTCATTAGCTAAGGATCAATCGCTCCACCAGCTGAAGT